TCAGGGAGTCCTACCGTGGATTCCAATTTCTCAAGTTCATCAGCCGACCACCATGAAGGATCGTACGGGTTGATAGAAGATAACGAGTGTGTAGAGTACTCGTCGTCGTCGTAGACACTTTGCCCGAAAGAAAGACGGCCCTGGCGAGGCACGTTCTGCTTCCCAACAAGACCGCTCAGGTGGCTGAGAATGCCCGAAGTCAAAGCCCTATTACTATAGCCACCCTCCAAGACACTGACGATGCGGCCTTCGACAAAGAGGCCCTCCTCTGCGGCCAGCTGAACAATATCTTGGGTGAGCCGCGCGTAGAATTCCGTGGGCACATTGACCTTGTGACGCTGCATTCCAGCGCTCTCCCATTCACTGGCGTCAAAGCCAGCAGACAGGAAGATTACGGCCCGCGGTTTGGCACCTGCGTCTTGTAGCTTCTCTGCTTGTGCTTTCAGATAGCTGCGGGTCTTGTCGAGAAGTATCGTGTACTTGGTCTCATAAAGGTCCCAGAAATCTTCAACCGTCTTCCATGGCTGGAGATGGGCGTTCCAGACGTTTTGACCGTGGGCATTCTCGATGCAGACACTTGCGTTTCTAATCTTGTCATCCTCGCCATTTTCGCAAGGATATGAGTTGATGTCGTGCAAGCTGAAGTAACCAATGGATGTCCTCTTCCAGGCGGCATGGCTCTTGGTGGCAGCCATGGACCGAGAGTTGTGCGCCCAAGCAATGGCCTGAGAGCCATCTCCGTGGTGCAAGTCAAAGTCAATGATGGCGGCGTGAGTCAGTTCGTGGTTCAGGATGCCATGCATGATTCCAACATGGACATTGTTGACCCAGCAGAAGCCAGACGGGAGGTTGGCAGAGCAATGGTGCCCCGGAGGTCGAACGGCAACAAATGCACGGCGCGGCCCAGCCGAGAAGACGGCGTCCACACCCTCACACACAGCGCCCAGAGCACCTTCAATGGCATCTAGCGACTCGCTACAGAGGTACAGGTCGCCCTCGTGAAGCTTCTCCGCCGTTGCAGTCCCAGCAGGTCTCTGCAGCTCCTTTCCTCCACGAGCCAAGACGGCCTCAGCAGACTCACACATGTTCTTCAACTCCTCCATCCACTTGGTGCCATGCACGTTGGTGACGGCGGGGGACAGCAGCGGCAACCTCCGGTCCGTCTTGTGGATGCGAAAGGGGATGCTGGGCAGCATGTGAACATTGCCCTTTGGCAGGATGGGCAGCGCACCATCGCTATGACGCTCACCGAGACGCACATAAGCCGCGGCCACGCCCAGCACGCCGGCCTTGATTCGCTCAGGGCGCTCCACAATGCTGGCGAGGGCACTCTTGGGGGTGCGCGGGCGCGCGAAGCGGTGGCCGTAGACGGCATCGTTGAGCACGACAACGGTCTCGGTGTAGAGCGTGGACACGGGCCCATGATGGGCCTCGAGCTCTTCCTTGAAATGGCCGCTGGCCACGGAGCTGGGGGTGACTGGCGGCCGCCACTCAGGCTCGGGAGCTCCAAACGACGCCCTCAAGCCCGGTGAAACAACCTGCCCCAGGCTGGAGCGCCTGGATAAAGACCGCGAAGGGCCGACGCCGTTTGCCGAGTGCAGGGAGTTCATCGAGGCTTTGCGGACGAGGGTGGGGGTTGCGGCTCGCGACTCTCTGCCTGAGGGACTGCGGGAGGGAGGGAGAGCGGACGAAGGGGAGGCATGGCGAGAGAGATTTAAAGGCGTGAGCGGCGTCGAGGGAGAGGGCAATGGCGATAATCCGGGGGATCGCGGGCCACGCTGTCCGAGTGACAGCTGGCTGAGTGACTGCGATAGGCCTGCGTCTTTGTCCCTGGAGGTTGTTGCTGCACGCCGTGGCGGCTCTGTATTGGGCGGAGACGCCATTTGGGCGTCTTATAAGACCGGCTTAGTCGGTGGGTTGCAGCGAGGCGACATGCGTTAGCAGAGAGGGAAAGACGCCAGGAACACGCCGGAAGAAGCCTGTGAGAATGTGTGCCAAGTTGGTGTGGGTGGAGAGAGCGTATGTAGGTATTGTATGTATGTAGCGTTGAGAATGCAGGTTTGCGATGCTTCTTCGGTTCAGTTGAATGCTGTGCTGCATGTGCTGTGTATCGAGCGATGCTTCAATCAGCGTCTGTCTGTCTGTCTTGCCACTGCTCGATTTCCGCGCCCTGTCCAGGTTTTTGGTGATGGCTGCGTACTGGAGGTTTTTTTTTCTGTTGTTGTTTGGGGTCAGGTTTGGGTTTGGCACGCGGCGGCGGCCAGTGGCTCGGGGCGTTTAATGACATGGCCGGGCATGTAATTTCAATTGTCGCCATCGTCATAGCCGCTTCGCTTCCCCTAATTCCAGTCCCAAATTCGCGTCCCATCTTGTCTCGCCCCGATCACGTGCCGGTGCGAATCTCATCCAATCTCATCCATTATCACATCCATCAAACAAGGTCCATGGATAAGGGGCTAAGCAATCAATCAATCAATTCCTTCACGTCACCATCATCGGGCCTCGTCAGGTCGGGCACCACAGCATTGACGCTGCGCCGGCACAGCTTCGCACGCGCATCTCGCCGGCTGTCTGGTGTTTTTCCAGCAAACTACTAGTAAGGGGTGTTTTTCTGCATCCGAAACAGCAGGTCTCGCGGCTGTGGAGCAGAGCGTCTCGTCTCCCTACAGGTACATGCATTTGCGCCTGCTTACAGTACTCGTACAGTCGGGATATCCATGATGCTACGGAGTACATGCAGCGAGGCATGCAGGCCACGATTGAGGCCAAACAAGACCCTGGAGGGGGTGGATGCCGTTGTCATGACATCAGCCAGAACCGCCAAATCGACCACTCAAACGCCACCGGACACCATCTTCGCATATTCCATCGTCTGCCGCTGAGGGGATATGCAGCGGTGGACCTCCGGGCAGGAATACATTCTTGAGGGCGTAGAATACGTGGCCGAACCACATCAGAGGCCTTGGATGCTGTTTACCAGCCATTCGTCAGCGCTGCCTCCAGCTATAACCGACGAGGTCCGATTTGAGCAGCATCACAAGCAACGGTGCTAGTAGGTGCATAAAACCAGGAACTGCCGACTCCGATTAACGGCTGCAAGCGAAAAGGTGGAATGACTGCCACAGTAGTGCTGCCACTGCTCTGCTAGCACAATCGGGAGAGGAGCCCATATCCGACGACACGACTCTACCTCGGTATTGAGGCCTTTTGTTGGTGCTCGTAACAGCAGCAGCTTTTGATGGAGTCTGGCGGCCCGAAATGTGAAGATGGCATTGATCAATCAATTACAAATTCCACATTCGGGCTCCATCTCATTTGAGAGGGCAAAATATTCTCTCATGTGTAAATTTCCGGCATGTTGCCGTCGTGACTAAAAATACCTGACAGGTACTCCCGTCGTCTGTGCTCTCGTTGGAAGTGCAAGTAAACGCACCAAGTGTAAAGGGGCGGCTTCATTAGCGGTCCCCGCTCTGCTTCTTTTTTAAGGTACATCTGGGGTAGCGCCAGTCCCTCGATCTCAAAGATGCCTGTCCGGTTCTGTGGAAGGACAGAAGCTCAGACGAAGAAAAAAAGCGCCCAGGTTTGTTACTCGTACATATGTAGGCCGGCTTCCACACAGCTTGCCAGACCTTGCAGACGCAAGAGATTTAAATCCAATCTCGAGGTAGGTTCATGTTCATGTAAGTCATTCTGCCTTGCTGGATGCATTTTGTTTGTACACATCAAGTAAAGTGCACTTTGTAGGGTAAGTTGATGCTCCGATCCAAGCAAGCAATGGAGGCCAACTTCTGGCTGCCCGGGGCTCCACAGGCCCGAAAGTCCGCTTATCGCGCTCGGAACTCGCAGGAAGATGAAAAGCAGAGCACGTGATGGTGTTTTTCATGAATTGATGCACAACGACAGGACGAATTGACCAAGGTGGCGACTTTAACACAAAAGCAAAAAAAAAAAAAAAAAAAAAGAAAAAGAAAACCACTCAACTGTGGAGAGGCTCTAGGCAGAAACATGCGCTGCAACTTCACGGGCATTCAACTGTTGGGCATTGTCTGCTGTCTCAAACAACACGACAGACAGACAACCAGTTAGTATAAGCCTCAACTCAGCCTGAACATCACACCAGAACAAATGCACTCCTCAGCCTTGTTTTTCACGTTTCCTTCTTATCTGCGTCTGCTCTTCATCCCGTCCCATCCCAACTTACCAATCCATCTCATCGCCACCGCACCGGCGCTATACAGCCAAGGCAAATAGCGTCTCATGCATGTGCTCACAACGCATCTCGTCCTTGGCTGCTTTCGTGGCACTAGCCGTCAAGTCCTGAACTAGCCCAAAGCCCGCCCAGTCCAGGGCACATCCGCAACTCAACCGCCGCCTACGAACATCCATCCATGGCTTCCCATCCTTCCATCTTCCATTATCCTGACAACCCTCACCAGCATCAACCACAGAATCATCACCTTCATTCAATCTCCACGACAACTGCACGCCTCTTTCTCTCATATCCAACACTCGTCACACCGTTTCTCCCCTCCCCTCCCTTCCCAACAAATTCAACCGAAATCCTTCTCTCCAGCCCCCTCCGAGCCGTGCCGCAAGCTAGCCAAGCTTTTTTCCCTGGCTACTGATTTCAGCCGCACGGGAATCCGCCTCATAATTGGCCGTGTAACTGCGGCGACAGGAATCAAGAGCGCAGAAGCAATGGCATTCCCCCTCTACTTTGTGCTTTCCGCCTCGCTTAGACTGCATGAGGATCCCAGCTCTGCGCCTGGCCTTGGCCCTCTAGACTCGTCCCCGTGATGTCGGTAGCTCAGCTTTTATTGACCTTGAAGCCGCTAGACGCTCGTCGTTGGAATAAATGGCGTGTCTCCCATGTACGAGTAGCTGTAGGAGTTTGGGGGCTTAAAACACACGTAGCTCGCCTCCTCGCCGTCTTTTCCCTCTCTCTCTCTCTCTTGTTCTGTGTGATACCCAATTCTGCATTGTTTTTGTCCTTGTTAGAGATGGCTCTCGCTCTCCTCATTCCGATACTGGCCGGCGGCGCGGCGGCCCAAATGACGCTGCCGCTCATCAACTACGATGAGGTTGTAAATGCTCTCAACTCCAATGACCCGGGATACCAGATCTGCACCGCCGCGGCTTCATTTCTCTCGGGCTGTGTTGCTGAAGTTGGAGGATCTGAGGCCCTGTCCACTGCGAATCCGCTGTCGCTCGCAGCATGTGCTTGCTGCATTGGGACGACGGATGTAGCTCCCGTCTACAGCACTTGCGCCGATTATCTCGGTTCCGAGGCACCTCAGCTTGGCTCTCAGATCTCTGGTATGTACATGTCCCTGGTGTGACTTTCATCGAGTTCTTGTAGCCTCTAACAAACTGCTAGCCTACGACTATCTCTATACCGTGTGCGGAAGCTCTCCAGAGATATGTCGTGGTGCGATTGGCACGAACCCGACCAATTCACAGCCTCCAACGTCGTCTCCTACTCCCTCCCAATCCTCAAGAATTCAGTCCCCTTCGCCGTCGAGATCAACTGCTTCGCCGGCCTCCTCGCCGAGCAGTATTCCGCAAGAAACAGAAACGTCAGGTGCTTTCACAGCAGAGGGATCGACAGCCGCACCGACCGGAGCTTCTGCAACTGGAGGCGCATCCGGCACGTCTCCTGGAACACGAACTGGCACTGCGACTAGCCTTGTGACAACGCTCGCGTCTGCGTGTGTTCAGATGGTGGACATTTTCCAGGAGTGCACCAGGGCGACGCCTGGCTTTACGGATATGCCGTTTGGAGAGCAGGCTTATTGTTACTGGTAGGATTTTACTCCGTCTTTATAGCTGAGATTGACGACTGACAAGGTATGTGCGTGTGTATAGCTGCCGAACTGCCTTGGATGGCCAAGTTACATGGACCGATGAAATCGAGACATATGCTTCAACCTGTCGAAACTGGGGAGCCACAGCCGGCCCCGGTGAGCCCGTTACTGCCTACGACGGTTCGTACTCCTCATGCCTATCAGGATACTGTTTCTTTGAAGATGTATGCTAACATAGCGGTAGTGGCCAAAACGTTTGCTACCTTTTGCCATCACTTTAGCGATGTTTGTTCTGTCTCGACCTCGGCGCTCTCGGATAATACCGCCACGAACGATGACGCAGGTCCCACGACCACTGCAGGTGGTCAGGCCACCGTTACTGTGACTCAAGGGCCTGCTTCTACCACCAATGCGGCTGCAACCGCTCGTGTAGGACTCGCTGCAGGTGTACTCGCAGTGGCTGGCTTTGCTCTGATGGTATAAGTGGTGGCGGGGTGTACAGCGAAGGAATTAATGGTTGAAATGCTGGAACGAATACAACGGGTAATGCCACTGAAATGGATATAATTGCTGCTATGCTGGATATACATGTCATATAATTGATATATATACACTAGGCGTGTTGAGACAACCGTTTGAGAGCGCCAATGACACGTTTAATGAATGTATTATTATACCGTCAAATCAACATTGACTCTCTTGAGTGCTTCCACAGCCCACTCAGGGTACTGCGTCTTATCCTCATAAAGCCCTGCGAAAAACTCTCTGATGAGCGCAGGAAACCTATCCTCAATAACCGCCTGTCGAATGTCGCGCATGAGCTGCAGCTGATACCAAACGTTGTGAATCGTCAACAGATGCGCCGCCACCGTCTCCTTGGAAGCGTTGTGGTGGATAAAGGCTCTCGTGATACCCATGCCGTCCTCCCCTCCCCTGCAACACATGCAGCCACAACCGGGCTCAATAGGTCCAAAGTCGTTGGCGTATCTTGAGTTTCGAATGTTCAGGACGCCATTCTTCGTGACGGCGTTTCCGAATCGCGCTGTCCTTGTTGGCCACACGCAGTCAAACATGTCTGCTCCGAGGGCGACGCTGACGATCAGATCTTCCGGGTAGCCAATACCCATCACATACCGAGGTTTGAGGTCGGGAAGTAGGGCTGTACATGTCTCTACGACACGGCAGTAATCTGCCTTGGCCTCTCCTCCGCTGAGCCCGCCGATGGCGATGCCAGGCGTATCCCTAGCCAGCATCTCTTTGCAGCACTCTCGTCGCATCTCGAGATCTAATCCACCCTGGATAATGCAAAACAGATTTTGTCTGTCGGGGTTCTTGTGAGCGGCTATGCATCTGTCCAACCATCTGACGCTGCGCTCCATGGCCTCTCGCATCCGGGCTTTGTCTGGCGAGGTGGTCACTAGCACGTCGTCGAGCTGCATCATGATATCACTGCCTATTGTGTTTTGCAGGGATATAGAGTGTTCTGGGGTGAGGAGCATAGGGGACCCGTCGTGGGGACTCAAGAAGCGAACGCCCTCCTCTGTGATTGTGGCCAGCTTTAGCAGACTGACCATTTGGAAGCTGCGGCGATCTGTCAGTCTACACTCATCTCCAATGGAATACTCAACTAGGACATACCCTCCGCTATCTGTAAGAAGGTTGTGATTCCATCCTTGCAACTTATGAGCACCACCAACAGCATCAAGAATCTCCTGGCCTGGCTTCAAGCCCAGGTGGTACGTGTTGTTTAGGCAAAGACGGCAACCAGTATCCTCCAGTTGCTCTGGGGTAATGCCCTTAAGAGAAGCCTGGGTGGCCACAGGCATGAAAATCGGTAGCTGGACGGGTCCATGAGGAAGTGTGAGAATAGAGGCGCGAGCTCGAGTTGTCTGGCTTATGCTTATCAGTTAGTATCAAGACTGAGGTCACTTTGAGATTTGGGTAACACTGACTGAACATTTTGCAACCAGTTCAAACGTGAGAGCCGGAGATGTGTACACGTTGGACGCCATTCTTTTGGCCGTCTGCATTATTTGCCCAAGGATGTTCTCTGAATCTCTCGTACGGGCCTCAACCGCGAACCCTTCCTTGCCTCTTCTCACAGTGAATTTTCAGCTCTTTCGCCGTTGATTGAATTTCTTACACGATAAGGTGCATACCCTGGAACTGCAAGATTTTGGCGGGGCTTTGCACGCGCCACACCCCGCCACAACGAGGGGAGTTCTAGCCGGCTTAACTTCGGAAGACAGGAGCTCGTCTCAACTCTGCCAAAGAATTTGCATCCGTTCAAGCCATCGTATGAGTGGCCTATATCGACCTCAGGCCTTTGAGCTTCTCAACGAGCCCCGACAGTCACGATGGGGGGCCGAGCCGTATCGCCCGGGGGGGCTCTATTGAGGACATCCCGCATGTTCTCAATTCCCAAGCCCCTTCCCGAACCGCCGTCAACGAACCTCCATATTGGGGATCACAAGTCTGCGACAATGACGAGACCGTATCCGCAGCATCAGTCCATCACCTCGCCCCTGGCCTCACGAGAGAAGGGCGACTGGGGACTCAAGCGGCCGTTTCCTCTGAAATCCACCATGGCCACATCTACGCCCTTTATCCGAATCAAACAGGTCGACACCGTTGAAAACGTCACCAACTTTGCTTCTGCCGCCGACCACTCTCTGTCGTTGGAGAAGTTCCAAGAGCTGCGAGTGGCCATGTCCGTGCCCTTTAATACCGACAAGAAGTCCGACTCTTCCCCAAGGACAGAACTATGGCACAAATCGGTGTTTGAGGAGGACATGGACTTTACAGACTTCCAGCGCGGACGGGGAGATGATCGACGATGGAAGTTCCAGGGCCCTTGGCTGGCTAGAATGACTGAGGGAGAGTTCATCGAGTACCTGAACAAAAAAGTCCGGCCTAAGCGGGCGCACTTCCGAACACTCCTGAAGGAGAAGCTGGCGGACGACATCACTACGAGCCAGAACAAGGCTGCGTTGGAGACCGGCAAAGCCGCTCCCGCCAAGGTTGAGGCGCGAGACATCTCAGAGGAGCAGTTTACAGACTACCTGCGCTCATTGCGCAACGACAGAGTGACGCTGTATGCGCTCGTCTCCAAGTTCCTCGACTTGGCTCCCCTGGGACAGCCAGTTGGAATCATTCAAACCTTCTGGTCCGATCGGGACAGCCTTGCCCCCGATAGCCCGTATGGCAAATCTGGCCCACCCCCAAGCCACCCCTCCGCTGGTATCAGCTACCTGCGAACCGGTTCATTCATGGAGAACCACCCCGTCTACGGCCCCCAGGGCAAGCGAACGCCGGCATTGGCCCGAGTGGTCTATCCCAAGGTTGGCCCCATGTCTCCCAAGCTTGGTGTCGGAGGTTTCGTCGCCGATGCTCCCTCTGGTGACAACGAGTTCAACCCGAGGACATATGGTCGCGCAAGATTCTCACCCATCAAGTCCATGCTCAACGGCATTATGCATCTTGACACTACCACATTTGGTGGTGCCAAAGCCTACGTTGAGGCAACGACGGCCAATGTTGATCCTAGCGGCAAGGTCGTCTTGCAGCTCCGAGAGACGGGCCCAGAGGCTCAGGTGGTTGCGAGGGAGAGCAAAGGCCTCACTGAGATCTATCATGACGGCCCAACCAAGAGCTATATCCCCAGCACCACCGGCGCCCCTAGCAGCAGTACCAGCGCTCCTGGCGGATATGAGGGCCAGCGATCTACGCGTGTATCTAACGAAGCCCGCTTAAACCGTGTTGCTGATGAGATTTTGGAGGAGTCATTGCGCTCTGACAAGTCATGAGAAGAGAGGGCTGGGTGGGGGTGAACGGTTTTGGCAATTACAAGCCCGACAGACAAAAGACGGGCTGCGTTGAAAATTGCCGAGCACTGAATTTTATGAAACATTGTCAAATTCTACCTATGTATCATTCATGTAAAGTAGTACCAATAAGAGATGAGCTGTATATGTTTTGATGAGCTTTGAACGCTTCCAGACTTGAATCTCCAAAAGACCCAAATGAGTATAGCCCAATTGGCAAATAACGCTAGCCTTGAACGGTTAGTATCTTTGGTTTCAGATCACTAGAAGTTGTATCACATGATTCCACACGTGCTGATTTTTGAGCCCTAATCAATTCGGCTCCCACACCCCCACCAGTGCTAAGCCAAACCACCAAGTTTTCTGTAGATGGGAATTTCGCAACGCTTCACTCACTAATCCACATACCACCTCAATACCGCCAAAATGGGTCGCGTTCGTACCAAGACTGTCAAGAAGTCCGCCAAGGTCATCATTGAGCGGTACTACCCCCGCCTGACCCTCGACTTCGAGACCAACAAGCGCATCTGCGATGAGATCGCCATCATTGCTTCCAAGCGCCTGCGCAACAAGGTCAGCACCATCCATGCACTGAGCCGGAAGAAACCACCGACTTGGAAACCGCGAGAGAAGAAGCGAAAAAAAAAAAAACATTGTGGCTAACAGCGGAATTGGGAATTATAGATTGCCGGTTACACCACCCACTTGATGAAGCGTATTCAGCGTGGACCCGTCCGTGGTATCTCCTTCAAGCTTCAGGAGGAGGAGCGTGAGCGCAAGGACCAGTTCGTCCCCGAGGTTTCCGCTCTCGACTTCTCCGAGGCTGGCCAGCTGGATGTCGACAACGAGACCAAGGACCTGCTCAAGCACCTTGGCGTACGTTCTTTTTTCTCTACCCGCGAAATCTACAAATATATTTTGAAGCTGACCGCATACAATATATAGTTCGAGTCCATCCCCGTCAACGTCATCCCCGTCTCCCAGGCTCAGGCTCCCGAGCGTGGCCAGCGACGATTCGGCGACCGCCCTCGCCGCGACTAAAGAGGTTTTTTTTGTGGGAAAATATTGGGTCTCTGGTTTTGCAACATTTTGCAGGTTGGCGTCTCAGGATGGTAGTGAGTGCATAGATCTCGAAAAAAAGAAAGATCTTCTACCCCACAAGGTGTCGCCGATTCTCTGATTAATTTCGAGATGACGCTTGATTGCCAAAAACCGTCCCTCTCCTTTCACACCTGTCTGTGAATGTGACTGAACATGCAAGGTTGCGTTGAGCTGGATATGCTATTCCGCTGGTGCTCAATCTCACTTAACCGGTGACTTTGAAATAGGCGAGGATATGCGACCAAATCAATTTAACCAATGGGTATCATTATATGCCCGAACCCACGTATTTTTTGTTTTCCAATACATGCATGACCATGACCATGACCAAATGCCAGCCCAACGCCATATTCTATGCTTTTGATGTTACTTTTCACACAAAGCCCTTAGACTTCAGATTCCCTTGTCTGCTTCTCGGGCAGTTTTGCTTTAAAGCCGTCAATGAGTAAATGATCCTCTGAGTTATCAGCTCCGGCCGGAGGAACCATCTCAGCAGGCGTCTTGACGTCCTTTTCCTTCAACGTAACCTTGACCTTGTCCAAGGAAGAGCCGATCCTGTTGTCGCCTCTTTCCATTGCTAGGGCAGCCGAGTCTCGAGCCGCCTGCCGTTGGTCTTCCAGCTTGAGTTCGCCGAGCTTGCGGGCTGTTCGATCTGCCTCCGTTTCTGCTGACTTGTCTTCATCCAAGAGATCAATCTGGATGTCGGGAATTCCAGCTCGCTCCCAAGCAGCCGTCTCATTGAGCTGAACCTTGACAAAGAGGGCTCTGCGCGCACACTGCTGGGAGCACCACTTCTCCAGCTCCTTGCGCTTGACGATTTCGCCGCTATTTGTGAGCTTCCATTCCCCACCCGAGCCGGTTTGACGTCTTGGTTTGGGGCACAGCGTGTAGCCGCACAGTTCATTCACGTTGCGCTCCTCGATGAGGTCATCGTAGTCGGAGGGTTGGAAGAGCCGGACGTTGGCCTTGAAGTCTGAGACATCGGACGGTGCAGGATCTGAAGCGTTGTATGGGGTTTCCCTGACGAGAGGGTACTCTGATAAAAGGATTAAGCTGTCGAGGATCTGGCTTTCAAGCTGCTTTCTGTGTTCCAGGAGCGTGGCATGGTGGATGGCGATTTCGCGCGCGCTCTGCTTGGGCTCGTTGGGAAGCGCAACAGAGTCCTTCAGGATGCCCTTGGGCTGGTTCGACTTGCTGGCCATGAGATATTTGGAATCTTCCAAATCCCCCCCACCTATGATGCCTTGTGCGCCCTGGCCTGTCGAGATACTTGTCTACGGTCGGGCTGTTGAAGATGTTTGTTGTTCGTTGGTGCGTCTAGAAGCTTTGCGGATGTGCAAAAAAAGCAAAGCAAAGCAAAGCACCGCTGGCGATTACTAACCAGTAGTGAAGCAAGTTGGGCTGCTACCCCACTAAAAGCCGCTGTGCCTTGCTTCTATGGAGCGTTGCCCCGAGAGCTGGAGATCAAATGCGCATGTACTTGTACCTACATATTACAGGAGAGCTGGAGGGGTTTGTGCTTGTGGCGCCGGGGCGGGCGAAACATGCAACCGGTGGCGCAACTTTGGAAGAAGTGACAGGGCCTTGGTGTTGCTTGTTGTTGTACGAGTACTCGTATATAAGGCAGTAATTGAAGATGCGCAAGGGTGCCCGGGTTTGAAGCAGCAGCACCTTGGCAGGACGGGGATTTGAGGGCCTCAGGCATTGATTGAGCATGTGCCACTGGCCGCGTGGGTTGGGTTGCGCCCCGATTGTTGCGGCACGAGGGCTGTGTCGACGGTGCTGGAGCCGGAGGTCCGAAGAAGTTGGTTTGGTTTGGAATTGTGTCGGTTGTTTTGTCAGACTCGATGCTGCTAGCGGTCGTGGCTACTGTGATACTAGGTACTCGTAGGCAGCCAGGGTTGGGGTTTGGGGGGATTTCAGAATTGGAAACGAAACCTGATGCTTCAAGTCCCTTGCATTGATGGCGCAGGTAATTATAGAAATCTGATCTCGCATGCCTGGCCTAGCATGTTTCGTGTTTTGCAAGGAAGGCCAGGCACCGCGGCCGGGTATAGTACATATACGGGGTTCGAGTCCTGGGCTGGGCTGCGGTAGCATCAGATTTGATTGATCGAACCAAATTGATCCATCGAATGGAATTAAAACTGCCTGGAACCCTCAACCTGCAGCCGCTGTAACGGTGACGAATGCGGCACATCCTCGGTACATGTACCTGAGGCGACAACCTACAGTACAACCCCCGATTGACCCTTTTCACTCACGCTCGCCCATTGTCTGGCCCCTCCGCCACTCGTCCTCCTCCAGTCCAGGTACTGCTACTTGCGACTACCCGGACTCTACTATACCTTAGTGCTTCTCGTCATTGCCTAGGCCTTCGTCGCAGCCTGTCATGGTGCGCTGACGTCGACACTTCCAGCAGATCCACCGCGTTTCACAGCCTCTGAGCCTTTTCATCCTCTACTCTACTTGTACTTCAAACCCTCGTGCAGACCAGACCGGACCTCCCATCGCCCATCTTTTCTTCTGCCTCCATCCGTCTGCGTCTGCGTCTGGGCTGAAACCGTCGCTTGCTTGGCCAGACCAGCAATTCCCTACATAACCTGTACTGTACTGTAGGTATGTACGCGAACCCCCTCACCTCGCCCAAGCTTCTCCCCACGTTTTAGCCACTCACCGGCTGACCAAAGGGACGGCTTCTCTCTAGTGCCCCACAGGCGACGACAACCTCCTCCTGCAAAGACGCCTGGGTTGGTCGTTGCTGAGCCCCCGAGTCCAGCATTGCCGCCAGACACCGCACCGCAATGGCTGCCCTGTTCCGCGTCAAGGCGCTCTACGAATACTCGTCGCCGCACGAGGACGACCTCAACTTCCCCGCCGGCCAGATCATTGCTGTCACGGACGAGGACGATGACGACTGGTACGGCGGCGAGTACGTCGACGAGGCCGGCGCCAAGAAGGCGGGCATCTTCCCTCGCAACTTTGTCGAGAAGTTTGAGCCCGTCGCGCCCCCGCGACCCGTGAGGAAGCACAAGCAAGAAGCCGAACCGCCCGCTGCTGCCCCTGCGCCCCCTCCGGAGCCTTCTTACGAGGACACAGCTGCGCGATCGACACCCCCGCCGGGACCCGTGGCCTCAGAGCCCTCGCCAAAGAGACTCGCCGAGCCCGTCAAGCAGAGCAGGCCGGCAGAACCTCCCGCCGCAGCTCCTGCTCCTCCCGTTCCAGCTCCAGCTCCCGCTCCCGTGCCTGTTGCTGTCCCGGCTCCGGCTCCCCCGCCCGCGGCGGCTCCTGCGCCAGTTCCGGTGCCTCTGCCATCTTCGCCCAAGCGTGCCGACTCCCCCGCCTCAGCTGGTCCGGCCGCCAGTGCTCCGAAGCCAAAGGCCGCGCCTCCGCCGGTATCCGAAAAGCCTAGCTCTTTCAAAGACCGCATTGCAGCGTTTAACAAGTCGGCCGCACCTCCGATTGCGCCCTTTAAACCCAGCGGCCTCAGCGGCGCTGGCGCATCGGGCTTTATTAAGAAGCCGTTTGTGGCACCGCCCCCTAGTCGAAATGCCTTCGTTCCTCCTCCTCGCGAGGCCCCCGCGGCCAAGCTTTACCGAAGAGATGAAGATCCCGAGATCAAGGAGCGCGTGGCCGAGACTCAGGGACAAGCCGAGAGAGCTGGACTGGCTACTTCTGAAATTCAGAAAGAGGGCGACGAAGAAGACCAGCCCAAGCCTACCAGCTTAAAGGAGCGCATTGCTCTCCTCCAGAAGCAGCAGATGGAGCAGGCACAGCGCCATGCTGACGCACTGTCCAAGAAGGAGAAGCCCAAGAAGCCCCCGCCACCTAAGAAGCGCGTTGATTCTCAGGCTTCCGCCGCTGAACCTGCTGCTGAGGGAGCCGAAGTTCCCGAACGAAAAGACACCGACGAACCTGTCCCAAGAGCCTCGATGGATTCTGCTCCCCCTGAGTCGGCTCCTCTACCCCCGCGGCCCCAGCCTGAACTTACGGAATCGCCCGCGGAAGCTGCCAACGGAGATGAAGCTGCCGAAGCGGAGGCTGACGACCACACATCAAAACGACTGTCCAAAGTGCCAACCTCCTCATCCGCTGCTCCTGCTGCTGATGTAGAACAGCCGGAGACTCAGGAGACCGTCGAGGAAGAAGGAGAGGCAGAGGAAGAGGAAGAGGAGGAAGACGTTGATCCTGAAGTCAAGCGCAGAGAGGAACTCCGAGCACGAATGGCCAAGATGAGCGGTGGCATGGGCTTCCATGGCATGTTTGGCGCCCCGGTTCCTCCGATGGGAGGTGGTCTGCCCATGAAGAAGGCACCTAAGCCACCGGCAAAATCTGCCACCACGCGGGAAGAGGATGTGACTCCGCCGCCGCATGCTCCCCCTGTTCCCACTATGATGGCACTCCCGGGCATGGGCCTTCCAGGCCTTCCAGTTAAGCCAGCCGAAGAGCCAGCTCAAGCTGATGAACCAGAGGCTGAACCAAAACAGAAATCTGAAGAAGAGGAAGATGCCACTCCTCTTGCTACCGCCCCCGTGCGAGCCGAAGAAGGCGAGTCTACTGGCATTTAGCGTCTTCAACCCTTTCCTTCTGTCTCTACTAACACTCCCATAGCCCCAGAGCACAGGGCACCACCACCTGTTCCTCAGGAAGACCTGTCTGCTCCTCCTGTTCCATTGGCGGGTACGTATAGATATGGTTACCATTGAATAGTTAGATGGGAACTAACACCTCGAAGCTCGACCGCCACCTCCCCCAGCTCCTGTTGGAGGTAATGCGAACCTTTGCAACCAACTGTCTGTTCACGCGCTGACTGGTTCAATGAATAGCTCGATCCCCTCCACCGCCGCCCTCAGCCCCCCCCGCTGTCAAGTCAGCTACAGAGGGATCTGAATCTGACGATGAACTGTCTAATGGGGCTCGTGAGAACGCCGAGGCCGCTGCCTCAGTACTGAGATCACCCCCTCCGCCTCCTGCCCCTCACCCCTCAGAACCTCCTCAGTCGCCCCCGCGCCCTGGAGCATTCTCGCCAACTTCGCCGACTAGCAAACGTGCTAGCAGACCTCCACCGCCCGTTCCAGGGGCTGCTTCCATACTCTCTGTGGTAACATCTCGCCCACCGCCGCCTCCACCACCCGCCGCCCCAAGCCGGCGATCAACTGTGGACTTTGGTGTCGCCTCGCCGACCAGACCTGCGCAGGCAGGGGAGGAAATCGGAGAGGCCACAGAGTACGAGGGCGACTACGATACGGACATTGCATCGTCTGTGCCTCACAAGGATGCTTTGGCGGCGCATGATCAAGAGTCTAGCATGGAGGAGACCAGTCTCCAATCACCATTCAACGATGCTCCTCCAGAGTTGCCTCCCCCTCCTCCTTTTGCTTCGACGCCGAGAGCGGCCCCTCCTCCCGTGCCACAATCTCCGCCGTTGAACAGAAGGTCTACGGATCTATCTCGGTCTGTTCCGATCTTGCCGCCTCCAGCTCCTCCCCCTAAGCTGCTTTCTCCCACGGGAGATGAGAACCACGATGCTCTGTTCATCTCAAATGCTAGACCAGATGACGCCCAAGACTCTCCAATTCTACAGGATGAGCCGACTCCCCTTTCATTTGAAGACTCTAGAGCCGTGTCGCCACCTGATCGAAGAGCCCCGCCTGCAATAGGCTCGCGTGGACGGTCATCCATGGATATGCCCAGGCCTAGTCTTAGTGCTCCCAGGAGATCGATTGATCACCACCGCCCGTCGATGGACTCTGGCTTCATCGCGGGAGACATTGATCTGGCTGTGCAGAGCGGCTGGTGGAAGCAGTCGAACCAAGTCCCTCCCGCTCTCCAAGGCCGGAAGGATATCCACTTTGAGTGCGATGAGTCCACTTCGACAAACCAAGGCGAAAAGGTTATAATCAGCAGAGAAACCTTTATCCTGTTCCAGGATTACTCGCAGACCATTCTTACGGCTCGCTACGACCCTAATGACCCGACAACTGTGGAGCTGGAGCAACGACACGAGGCGCCCCCCAAGGCGATGCGACAGGACCAGATGGAGGAAGCTTATGACACCTTTGGGCGGCGTATTTCCGCATCCGCCATTGCTAAGAAGGATCAGGTTGTCGGCGATGGCACCGCGCAGAGCTTTGTTTTGGAAATGATTCGACCTCTAGAGGATGCCCTGTTGCCTATTAGCACTAGATCGTACGGTGCCCTCGTCTATGCCAACATGGCTAATGCTTCCACTCAGCAGCACGATGTCATTCGTCCTGGCGACATCATCACCATTCGCAACGCCAAGTTCCAGGGCAAGCATGGACCCATGCATGCCAAATATTCCAGCGAAGTTGGCAAGCCGGACCATGTCGGTATCGTGGCCGAGTGGGATGGCACCAAGAAGAAGGTCCGGGCCTGGGAGCAAGGCAGGGATGGCAAGAAGGTGAAGCAGGAGAGCTACAAGCTGGACGACCTGAGGAGTGGAGAGGTCAAGATCTGGCGTGTGGTTTCTCGTAGCTGGGTTGGCTGGCAGAAGAAGCTGTCTTAGTGGTACTAGAGCAAATTTCTTTTTTTCTTTAGCATGCTGGCCGAGAGGGTTTTTTTTTTTGAAACCGAGTGAACAATTAAAGAAGAAAAAAAAAAGATTATTGGGAGGAGAAAGGAGGGGAATGGCATCCGTGATGCAAAAATTAATCTCATATCACGCCCGGTCCTGACATCCAATATTTTTTTTGCATGCCCGGATTGTGTGTGTTGTATGAAGAGCGCAATGCTTGTTTGGCGGCTTATTACAATTTTTTTCTATGTCGTATGCCATACAGGTGTTGTTGCCTGCTTTTTTGTACGTTTATGCATCTGTCATATAATCTTCCACTTAGATGTTTGATTTGCATTATTCTTTGCCTGAGGAGTGATCTTTTTGCCTGTGATGTGTGGAATGGATATAATGTCTGTGCAGGACGCTGAAACACTCACCTTTTGGATGATGATTGATGCATTTCGAGTCTTTGGTGAGGGTTGATGCCGTGGAGCCTCAGTTTTCCTACTTTGGTGAGACAAATGGCTCTGGTACTTGGTATTTATGTAGTGCAATGACTCGCACTGGGGCTAGAAGATGTGAAAAAAAAAAAAAAACATTTTGAATCCTATGGCAATTTGTCCTGTCTGGGTACTCAGAGACCAAATTTTGGTGAAAGTTTATGAGGCATTGCTACATGTGGTCTTCACGTTGAAGTCGCCAAAAATGTGCCCGCCTTCACAGCAATTTTATCACCCTCGGGACCTGGAAAGGCCGAACCCACTCTTCGATAATACAAAGTTGAGACTGGCTACTGTCCATAGCAATTTTAACTCCCCTCAGGGCCTTGAGAGGCAGCATCAACGTTATGAGAAGAGTTTCGGGGGTTTATTGTATGATCTGCTGCTCTGCCGTGATGGATACGAGATACCTTGGTGCACCTATGTAATACAGGTAGCATCGTATTGCAAGGGGATGAGGGAGGTACAAAAGGAGTTTTCCTCTGACCATCTCTGCTACTATGTACTTTACATATCACCTAGTAGGTACAAAGCAGATTGATATTTGAAAGAGCCGATTTGTTGAATGTACCTACATGTCCGTCAACGAATTTTCTCTGGGCGTGTGGTTGAATCGCTTGCCCTTCTTCATCGTTCTGACGCCGGATCTCTTTTTTACTGTCCGGGAGCTTAGGGGAAATCAATGTCTCGGCTTTTAGGAACTGAAAAAGCCGAGTCTGATGAGCGCAAAGAGGTCGGGATGGAAATTTACGGTGTGGCGTCTTGTATGTCTTGGATTCCGTGTCTCATGCTGATTTGGCTGATCAATGGGAGTGATTCAGTTATGCGGTGTGACTTATGATTACGCATTCTGCGGCTATGGATTTGCGCCCTTGGGAGCCATGGCCAATGCCCTGAGGTGATCCTATGATTGTTTCATCTGCAATATTATCTGGGTTGTGAAGCACATCAATTAGGCGGCACTCAGCTACGTAGTATATACGAGCAGTACGACGGTAGATGGATTACTAGAATGGAAACGTCCACTTACTCGTCTCTGCCGAATCGGGGGCTAGTAAAGGTCGCACGGCAGATCAGATTGGCTCGGCTCGGCTTACGAGAAATGCAGGGCAGACGTGGTTGCATATCCTCCCTTGCTAGCGGGCCACTGACTTACAAGGCAGCTTTACTCAGTCGTCATATCGAGGAGACACGATTGACTAAGCTGGCAGATGCCTGACGAGGCGAGGGCGGCTGGATCATGCAGGACGTTGATATCGGAGCAATTGTCGAGGACGGCCCTGTGACCCCGGGGAGAGGAACATCCTCGTGTCTCGAGTCCTTTTGCCCTCCATCTTCTTCTCTTCCCCAATCCATCTTCTCCGTCTACATCACGTCTGGTACAGTGTCCTAGTTTTGCTGTGTTCATCCTCTTCCATCTCTGCTTCTATCCTTCTAGCGCATCGTCATTTACATCCTCCAAAATGCCTGATCCCGATTTCCCTACCAAATGCATGGCAGACTTCTTCTCCAACCAAAGAAAGGACCTGCCCGTTGCCCTCGAGACCGAAGACGTCAAGGGCAAGACTTACATCGTGACCGGCGCTACTGGCGGCCTCGGCTATGAGGTCGCCAAACGCCTCGTCCAACTTGAAGCGGCCAAAGTGGTCATTGGCGTGCGCAACGAAGAGAAGGGCGAATTTACAAAGACGACCATTGAGAAAGAAGCCGGCCGCAAGGATGTCATTGAAGTATGGGCGCTGGATCTGGCCTCATACGACTCCGTCAAGGCTTTTGGCAAGAGACTGGAGACGATCGACCGTATCGATGCTCTCGTTTTGAACGCTGCCGTCTCTCACGCTGAGTGGCAGGTCGAGGAGGGCAGCGAAGCTCATATGACTGTCAACTTCATTTCCAACCTTCTCTTGACCTTTGAAGCCCTCCCAATTCTTCAGGCCAGCGCGAGCAAGCACGACATCAAGCCTCGCATTGTCGTCGTCGGCTCTATGGGCGGGTTCTTCGCCTTCGAGAGTGTCAGAAAGCTCCCCAAGACGGGTATTCTCGACGACCTCAGCGACAAGGCCAAGTGGAAACCCCTGTTTGACAATCGATACCCAGTGACCAAGATGTTTGTGCATTTTGCCGTGCGCGAGTTGGCTTCTCAAAAGCCTGTTTCCGAAACCGGTGTCATTGTGAATGTCGTTGATCCCGGGCTGTGCAAGACTGAGCTTAACCATGAGCTGGGTCTCTTTACGCGTTTCAAGGCGTGGTGCGCAAAGCTGATAATGGGACGGAGTGCTGAGATGGGCAGTCGGACGCTGATTCACGGTATCGCGGCCGGTGAGGAAAGTCATGGAAAGTATCTCACTTCTTGTGAGATTCGAGAGTATGTCTTTATGAGAGCTTGTCATATGTGATGAGTAAACATGGCTAATGATGATGCTTTTGCTTAGGGATCATATTCCGGAGTGGGCAACCAATGAAGCGGGCCAGGTGCTTCAGAAGCAGATCTGGACGGAGCTCCTTGAGAAGTTGGAAAAGATTCAGCCTGGTGTCGTGACTGCTGTCATTCACGATTAAGAGGTACAACCCCTATATCTTTTTATACTCAATACTGGCATTACATGATGGCTCCTATCGAAAAGAGTGCTATTTTCTGACAGTATCTGATGGCGCACGATGAGATTGGTTCAATAATAGTTGTGTACCACATAATACTACAAGTACCGGATACATGCCCGTTATCAATATTAGCAAGCTGTGCTGCGATGATGTCGATGCTGACAAGGGTGACTCTATATCGACGTAAGATGAGCGCGAGTCTTAGTAAGAGGGGCTTGGACTTACACGCTTCTATGCATGCGCATACATTAGTACAAAGGACACAATGTGGAATACAGAAAACGCAATATTTCCTCCAAATTGCTACTATCTTTAGCCGGGTTATTTATTTCTTTGAAAAGCTACTACCTCAACTTGATGGCATTTACGTGATGTGCTTGTATGGATGTAGATTGTTTCACTTCTATTGCGCTTCATTTTGTGTCAACCTGACTCTAATAGAAGAAATTTATTCGAAATGAGGTTTATCTAGTTGTTCATATATGAATCTACATTGCATTAGATGAAACATCAAAAAGTCGATTAATCTCTGCTTGACTGAAAAGCTCGGCGCGATTCTTTGACGATTTGCTCTTAGAAGAGGGCCATATTTGACGAACACCGGTCTTATTATCATGCTTCCAAGAAAACTTGTCCCCTATATGAGTGACATTCGAGAACGGCGGAATGAATGGGTGCTTCGATGGCTTTGAGATCAAGGGTTGTTCCGCCTTAGAGTAGGCATACAAAGAGAGGAGAATGCAGCCCCCGGTGTTTGGAGGTTGGAGGACATAGGCACCTCCATAACTTGTCGTCTGCGTACCGGTTTCGTTTTTACAGTAGAAATCGGTACTCCAAGCATTTAGGCAAAGTCCGGAATTCAGCTCGTCGTCGGCGAAAGGGAAAGGCTGCTCATCGCCACACTTGGTTTGATCCGGAGCCCATCCGGCCGACACCACGACGTTGTAATCGAATCCGTCATATTCGGTTACGTAACCATACGAGTCGCCTGGTTCTAGAGTATAGCTAGCTGAGCAAAAAGACTCAAACGCGGTCTGTGCCTCGCCCAGAGAGAAAGATACGTAGCCGTCAAGTCCTTCGAAGCAGTAAGCATCGCCCTCGTTAATTTTTGTGTGGGTTGGGTACGGTGTGGATGACGTTGACGTTGGGGTTGACGATGTTTTGGAAGGCGACCACGTGGTAGTGGCGGGAGGATTGCTGAAGGTAGAGAGAACAAACTGTGTTAACGTGACGGAGACTGTGACTCCTACAAATGAGGGATAAATGACAGCCTGGGCTCCGTCTAGGGAGGTCGTGAAGATAGATTCGACGTTGGAAATGGGATAAGCGGTCTGAGCAACGGTCACGTAGCCACTGACGACGGGATATGGCGTCTGCTGGACAACAACACTCTCAGAGTATGTGATAGTAGACGAAGGTCTCTAGTTACCAAGCAAGTTGACATCGTCGCCCTCATCATCAGTGGTAGGATCAATGGAGACCAGCGGACAATATGACCCAGTTGTTGTGGCGGTTGCAGTGAGAAAGCAGCCGGTGATAACATTCAAAGAAGTAGTAGTGCATGATTGTGTCTGGCACGACACCCAATAGTCCGTCGCTGAGGATGTGGTGCAGTCACAGCCGAGATAAGTGTTGCAGACGGTAGCGCACGGCTTTGTTGTACAGACCTGGTGACACTCTGTATTTATCTCTGAAGCACAGTCTTCAGTTGGTGATTTCGAGGTCTTGGAGGTCGTCGTAGTTTTTGAACTCTCTTCGTCTTCGCATGCCTCACCAACATAGTCGTCTTCTGACCCTGGACCACATCCAGGGTCGATGCATCCGTGTGATCCATCTCCACCACCGCCACCACTTGAACCGCCGCCGCAGTTAAAGAGACAGATGTGACCACAACCAAGAAGACAGATAGGTCCTGGGATTCCAGCCGAGATGTGAATGTTTCCTGGGTGGCCTGGGGGAGGGGGACCAATGTCGATACCAGTCGGGAAGGGGCCTAGTTTGTATGTGTAGGTGATGCCATGAGTGGGCTCCGTAATAACAACAGGAGGTACGACGATACTGCTTCTCACGGGAACGATTTCCGAAGTAGACGTGGTAAGGATAATATTGGACACGTCAATTACTGATGTCGTGATTAGTGGAAGCGTGATGAACACCGTAATGGTAGTTGTGAGATATGTAACAACACCGGTTGTGGTCTTTGGCCAAGTCTCTTCGATGGTCTCTGTGACGACTGGAATGGTAATTGTCGTCATTGAAGAGAGTGTCCACGGCGGCAAGACGAGAGTACAAGGGGGTTCACAGGCCGCCGTCGGCGTTGGAGAGTTCCATATTGTCGGATCAATGTACACAACGACACCGCTGCTGCTGCTGCTGCCAGGTGGCTTGCCGGATGCAGTACCTGATGCTCCAGGAATCGACCAAGTCACTGTTGGAGTTGAATATGGATCCGGAGTTGGCACGACCAATACTGGACAGTCGCTGACTTCGGTGATGTCTTTGGGACCCTGAACACACTCTGACATTGGAGACGACGAGTTTCCGTTGTACGCAACTACGCAAAACTCATAGTTCCATGCCCCTGGGAAGAGAAATGTAACCCCAATGCAGGGCACGTCCGAGGTGTAGCCACCCAGTACGTAGGGTTGATTTGGTTCAACCGCAGCCTCGACACGGCCACCAGGGCTCATCCCATGATAGCTTGCCGAGGTGCCCGACCACCCATAGTCCTCGAGAAAGTCCTGTGACGTCTGGTCATAATATATAGCGCCGTATATATCAACGTCATATCCTTCAACAGCATCCCAAGTCATGTCAATACCATCTGCTGTGGATTTGACAATGATGTTGGAAGGGCCTGGGGCACATGTTGGATTTGCAGTTGCTGTGACTTGTCCGCTGATTCTCGAGCGTACATCTGAACAAAACGCCTGGACTTGGTAGAACCACTCGATGCCAGCAGCAGTCCATGTAGTAGAGTATGTCGGTTGGGTTACATTGAGTACGGAACTGACTGCCCCGTTGAACCCAGACGTCACAATGTATCCATAGGCACCATATACCGGATCCCATGTCACCGTGACTCCACAAGTAGTTGCTTTGGCTACCACATTGGCAGGTGTACTGCAAGCACGGGTAGGAATACTTCCATTGATAATGAAGGCATTCCCGGGCCAATTGAATCCCTGAGAGAGGGCATTCGCAAATGCTTTTGCGATTTGAAACTCTCCCAGAGCATTTGGGTGCAAGCCATCAGATCCAGCAGGGCAACCATCAGGTTCGCCTTTTACCGTGTTAAAAACAGACTCACGGAGAACTGAATAGCTGTCAAAGGTATGTGTACTTACAAGAGTAGTTTTCGCGAAATTGGACTACCTAGTTGAATAGGCGATTCGCTTGTCGACAGATCTTGGAGCAGCGCGGGCAGGAGGGCATTGTAATCATCAGTCTTAGTGATGAGATCATTACGACCACCGATGAAAAGCCTTTGAGGAACGGTTGCAACCGCAAAAGCAATATCCGACTTGGCCGCGCGGGCATTCTGGATGAAGGTCGTCATGCTCTGTATTGTTCCAAGGGCATCACTCACAAACCAGCCAAGATCGTTGAAGCCAAGCTCCAACAGAATATAGTCTGGCTGATATTGTGAGACCATTGATTGAATGAGGCTCATATATTGAGCTATTTGGCGTCCCCAGGCTGCAAAATGACGATCCCCTCCGTTGAGAAAACCAGAATTAGAGGGAATTCCAGAATTGTATCCACCGAGCTGGCGGACAGGCGCGGGACCTTCTTGTGTGGTGTCTTGGCCATACGGTACTGGGGGCGTAGCAGGTTGGGCAGTACCTGTTGAACAGTTCCTGTGTATGGACCTACAAAGTTGACAGATACGCGGTTGCTATTGAACCACTCCCCGAGGCGGTATCTCTAAGTGAAGTCTCCATTGCGGCCCTGTGCATGTTTCAATAATTGTTGTTACTGAGGAATTAAGTTTGATGATGCTTCGTCTGTATTCTCACCTGTGAAATAGAATCTCCAACCACCATAATAGAGGGATTGCCTGTAGGGGATACAACAGCATTGGCGGCTAAACAGAAGATCAGGAGTACATCTAGGAGCCTAATGAATGACATTGTTGAGGGTCTCCCGGGAGGACACAGCCCTGGGAAGAATGGCATGGCTATTTGTTATACCAGCGTACAGACTGGAATCAAGTCTAAAACCCCAAGTGCTTTCGGCACGGGCTGTTGACCATGAAAGCGTGGTTAGCAATCTCACCAAGCGGGATGCTGCCTATGAAAAGGCTGTTACAAAGGGAAATGGACTGCATTGTTCGTTGGCCAAGACGCTGCGAGATCCTCCATCGTTGGAAGCGCCATTATATTTGCAGACGCCCGGACAAGCATATATTGAAGGGTGGAGCGATTTTGATCTAGGCGGACCTTATATTGGAACCAAACTAAACGCGCCTTTGGGATCCATCAATGTCCCTGTGAATACATTGACACATATTACTTGGTTTCACGGAGAGAGTCTGAATATACAATCTGACCCCAATGACGACAATAGTGAACTTGTCTGGAGCGCAGTACGCCTTCTCCCCCTCCCCATCCCCCTTCCACTTCATCATTTGTGAAGCAATTTGATGCAATGAAAATACTGTTCTCGAAAAGAAAGAATGATAGAATATACTAATATACGTGATATTTCTTTTCGCAGTTATCTGAGGCGTACTTTGTCAGCTCCTTCTCTCCTAGAGGTGGTGTCATTATTGCCGACAGTATTTTATCCGTTGACGGCGCTATAAAATGCAACGACGCGGAGTTCAATGACGTGAGCAACGTTGAATACATATTCAGGGCATCTGTTGTAAACCACGACAGCCTAGGTCTTCTATTTCAAGCCCTACGTGAAAAATACAGCGACAGCCCTACAATCCCGCCCATTGGAGTCTGGAACAACCGGTTGACTCTTGACGTTGTTCAAAACCCTAGGCGGTTCTATGCTGTACTTGGCAGTCCGAACGGATCAGGGGCCACGTATCTTTTAATGACTCACAAAGGAGCACTGGGAGTAAAGACGGTTAATGGAGTTGACATATTTACGGGCACTACTCCTTTCACGATCCCAAACGACGGTATTGGCGATGCTGAAGGGGCAAGTATTATACTTTGATTTTACGTCACTGCGCCATGATACGCGAGTCGCAAGTGGTTGAGTGATGGTTTATTCCCCCTGGGGTAAAGCAACGATAGGATTTAGATGAGCTATAGGCTGTCTTTTCTCCCTAATAGCAGCCTTTACACTGGCAACCTCTTCAGGAGGCATAATGCTTTCCCAGGCGAAATAATAAAAGTAGGGTAAATACTCCTTTCCATTGACTGTCCATTCTTGTGACTCTGAGCCCAACAATCCTAGCAGATACATCCTCCATCGATCCCAAAAGGCAAAGCCCATTGGACGAAACGAGTCAAACTTGACTCCCTTGAGGGGTGAGACCATCAATAGTCTGCCGGCTGTCAGATGTCTGAAGAAGAAGCCCGCACCAGCACTTGGTTGGAGTGTGTGGTGCTCGGCTTGGCCCCATAGCCAGGGGCTGCTAAGCACTGGTTCACCATCTTCAGGCACAGGAGAACCTTTTGTCAATGCATGGATCTCGTTATCACGGCGAAACCCATACACTATTAGTGCATTTTTATTTAGCTTTGGAGAAATCATTGTCCGCCTGGCACTTGTAGTAGCTGAAGGCGCTCGGGGTAGTCGGTAGTACATGTTGTTCACGGCATCCCCGCGGGTTTTCAAATATAGCATCGCAGTGTTCAACTCTTCTGCTGGACGGCCGATACAATTCGCCAAGTTGACCGCATCCGTGTTGCTGAGCTTCTTTATGTCTTCTTCTGACCAGCCCATCGTCCCCGATCTGTCTCCAACTAGGCGCTGCAATTCACCGACAAACTGTATAATCCACATGGCGCGCAGTGCTCGCATTTCTTCGATCCAGCTAGGCTCTCCTGCATCAACCACCTGCACTGGGGTGCCAACAAAAATGCGATCCTCGGGTTTGACGTCTTCGTCTGCCTGGCCATTGTGTATGTAGCGTCCCAAGTATTGAGCAGGCGGGTCATAAGCGTGCATCGGTCTGAAGCTTGGGTCTCTTATTCGCACCAGGCACGATTCCAAGCATGCCTGTGCTAGAGAAGAGAGATGGTATGCCGTTGCAACGACTGATCGAAGGGTTGCCACTGGCACGCTAGAAGTCGCGAGTAATTCTGGGCTGATTGAAACCTGTAATAAGGGATGCTCGACACGACAGAACTGGCATCGAATGAAGCCTAGTTGGACATCTCGCATGCCTCGAAATGGGAGAGCCCCAGAACGTAAGAGGATGACTGCTCTTACAAGTTCCGACATGCTCGAGGGCAGTACAGAATTGGGCCCAGAAAGAATGCCCTCGGTGATAACCAGAGCATATCGATCAAATAGGCGCCATGTCTGGGGCGATGCTCTCATGAGATTCCAGAGCGTGTCGAGGCCGGGCAGTTGAGTGACGATTTGCAGCAGTATCTCGGGCGCCAGCAGCTCCAACGATGCTGAGCGATGAGGCTCGGTGGACTGTTGCATGACTGAAGCGTCCATTTCTCTTGTGTACATGTAGGTAGTTGGAGTTTGGAGGCAAAACACAAGATGTGGGAGGACATCAGGGGACATTAAGTAGCGCCGAAGGATGATGAAGACTTGCGGGGTTTGATGCCAATCTGTTGTTGGTTCGACGGGTGCATGTAATTTGCATCAGGATTCCCTACCTCTGCTTTAGGACGGCAAAATGAGGGGTAATTTACAGAGAGGTCTTCCGGTGTAATGAGAGCAGGATTATGACAACTCTGACTCTGGTCAACAGTAGAGTCTAAGAGTGGTTGTCTGTGGTTTTTTATCATGAGACATGAGAGAAGTTGTGATTGGGCGAAATAGTCCAGGCACTTATATCAGGACTACGGTTAAACGCCAAGTGACTTGATACTGCCTGTTGTATTTTCGTCTCTACCTACGCACATTTAATTGAGCATATGTTGCATAGAATCGCCAAGATGTTGCATCACGAATGCTTGGATGCATACAAGAAAGCCATGTCGGTGGATGGAGTGCATCGGGATAGTGGTGGGATGGCGAACACGGCAGTTCCTCTTCATGTTCTTAGCAGCCAGGACATTTACACATGTATGTACACAACTAAACAGTTGTCGTTATATGACACTTGTACCCCCACAACTATATTGGGCTTATAAAAAAGAGAAGAAGTGGACACGGAGAAAGAAAGAAAGAATTAGCGTCTAAAACGTTTGATATAAGCAGTCGTCATCCGTTGCCCGCTCAAAGTCTAATTGACGTCTTGACAGTTGCTCAGAGTGGATGGCCACGCAACCCTCCCACAGCGAATCCAGGGCGGTTTGAGGCGGTGCAGGGGAGCGACGCGAGTCTTTTAGCTTCAAGGCTCGATGCATGATTCGAATAGTTGCTGCAAAGGGAGGCGTGTGGCTGAGTGACAGGCCAGGGGGGGCGAAGCTAACTGTGAATACGAAGGATTGTGGACATTGGACGATGGGAGCTGCTTGGCGAGAATGAATAGGTACATGGGTGGAAGAAATAAAGGTTGAGTTGTTTGATGTTAATTGCTGTTATTAGGTATACAAGAAACAACTGAAGTTATGATGCAAGTGACATTAGCATCTCATCAACTCTCTCGTGTTCAATTCTTATTTCTCACGTCAAAGTCATTGCTGTACCGTTTTGGGCCATTCGTCGACACTGTGAGCCATGATGCCACCAACTGGCCTAAACGGGCATTGATAGCGCGATGTGGAGCTTGGGCCAGGCGCTAGAAATACAGTGCCGATTGACGGCTATGCAGCCCGTTGCAAGCGCCCAGGGGGTAGACAGAATAAACGCAGCACTGCATAGAAGGATTCAACGTTGTCAAACAATGAGGATGTTACAGGTACCAGTTACTAGTTTCCATATGACGAAGCTGTTTTAGTGTAATTCCATTGTTATCCATACAATAAACTCCCATTTCCTGTTGTTTTTTTCCGATTGCTGCCGTCCATAAACAATCCTCAAATTACTGCTGCAGCTCAATTCCATATATACAGGCTGTCCTCCTTATTATGTCGTAGCCTGGGCTGCCTCTTTTGGCGCCCCAAACTAAGCGAGTAGGCCCTATTAGCTGTTACCAGCGGCAAGCGCCCGCCCCCACTTGGCTGAACAGGTCCCCTACCCCGTCTGTGCTGTAGCTCTTAATAGAGCTGAGGCTTGGGCGTTTCGAAAGGCACCTCACCTTTTCAGGCGAACGTGAACATACATCCAATATCTTACCTGAGCTCTACTTTTTCTTTTGCAACATACAACATCTCGCATTAAGCATCTCACACCAACACAGCAGATCCAATATCAAGCTTCATTCTCATGTCCAACTGGAACTGCTGCCTGCTCCATTGAGCATCGCGCATTCCCGGCTGCGACAAGAGACCGCTGCTGATTCGACCGTTTTCCCACCACCAAATGCCAGCGCCACAAGACAAGCCTAGCATTCATTAGCTGCACAAATCATGCCTTCATTCACCCCAGACGAGCGCCAGCGCAGGATCGTTCAATTGTCGCAGCAATGGGGCATCGAGCTCCCCAAGATCCCTCCGCCCTTATCGCGGCCTATGCGCCCGCCCTCGTTCCGCACGTCCGCAGACGACCAGGTGGCCGATGGTCTCATCCAGCAGCAGGCGGCTGAATCAGCAAAGACGCGCCCCAAGAGCGGCCTGAGTCGCGCATTCTCCTCGAGCAACCTGAAGAAGGGCAAGGGCTTGGACGCAAAGGACATTGTCGATGTCTTGGGGCAGTGGATCGCCAACTCCGGCTCTCCGGGCGTGGCCGAGGCTCTCCTCTCAAGGCTGACGGCGGCCGGCGTTGATCTGTCCGGCGCCCAGCAGCAGAAGAGTGGTATCCTGAACAGGAGGAAGAGCCTGGATAGCTTCGATGGTCGCACGCAGCTGCTGCGGTCTGCCGTGGAAAGAAACCTCATGGACATGGTCCGGGTCCTGCTTCCCCATGCTGACACTCTCGCCCTTGACGCATCTCTTCCTATTGCCATCCGAAGCGGCAATGCGCAGATGGTGGAGAATCTGCTGAGGTACGGCGCCAGCACTTCGCGATTGACCGAAGCACAAACCGCCTTTCGCCATGCCTGCTCGCTTCATGGAATGTCGGCCATCGTCAGCCTGGTCCTTCAGTCAGAGGGCCGACCTCCTGACGACCTAATCTCGGACGCCATGATTGACGCCGCGAGGGCGGGCAACCTGCAGAGCGTTCTCTATCTTAGCCGCTCCACAGCGGATGGAAATCACAAGCAGGCCGAAGCCTTGAAGCAGGCGGTCGAATTGGGACGCAAGGACATTGCGGTCGCCGTCATCATGGGAAACAGGCCACCACAGCGACCGGGGCTGGACAACGCCTTCCAAGCTGCCTTTGAACATCCATCGATGAATCCAGACTCCAAGCTAGAGCTGGCAGAGCTCTTGCTTTGTGCCGGTGCTGGAGGAGACTTTCTATCCCAGGCGCTCGAGCTGTCTTGCGAAACCCAGTTTTACGACATGGCTAACCTGCTGGCTATGTATGGTGCTTCCATCGAGTATAACGATGCTTCGATGCTCAAAGGCGCTATTGCTCGCGGACAGCTAGACCTGGTTAATTCACTTCTTCACGACAGAACAGCCCTCAGCCCACCAGCTGCGTCGAGTTGTGTCTCGGCCATTCCAAAGCAAGCTGCCCCCGAAGTCCGCTACACCTTGCTAAGCCTTTTGCTTCGGAAAGGAGCCAACGGTGATGCTCTCAGTCATGTCCTCGTAGATGCTGTCGAGGCTGGTGATGTAAATTCGGTCGAGCTACTTCTCAACCCTTACTTCTCAGCATCGCAAGCCAACGGACATAACAAACCCATGAATGGTGGGCGCCATGCTGTAGCATCAATTGATTACCAAAACGGAAGAGCCCTCTCCGCCGCTGTTATGCAATCAAATATTGAGCTGACTCGGAAGCTCTTGACCGCACGGCCTTCGGCTAACACACTAACAACTGTATTTCCTCTCGTCATGAGGTTGTCTGGCGCAGATCGTTATCAAATGGTCGAGCTGTTTATAAAGAAATCTGTACCTGCATCCAGTTTACATGCTGCCTTTCAGGATGCTATTGGTGAGGACGTTTCCAAGAGAGACAGGGCACTCATCAACCTGCTCCTACAAAGGGATGCAGACGTAAACTTCAACAATGGCGCTGGGCTAGCTCCTCTCATTGCACAAAAGGATGTCGGTCTACTCGCTCCTTTATTGAAGAAGGTGACTCCACAAACGGCTGCAGCAAGAACGCACGACGCTATGCGAGTTGATGATCATAGAGCGAGATTCGATATCATGACGTTGCTGTTCCAAGCGGGTGCCGCCACCGGCGTGGTTGAAGTCGCAACCGCTTTATCAGAAACACTAAGCGAGAAGCCTGTCGACATGTCATTACTTCAGCTGTTGCTACAACATGGCAATGCAGACGTCAATGCGCTTGACGGTGCGGCTATGGCCAAAGCCACGATTAATCCTGACCCCAAAGTCCTTGGACTGGTTACTAGCCTAGGAAAGCCCACGAGTCAAGCGATTTCGAAAGCACTACAGAGCCTTGCCTCGACACCTCCATCCGACGCAAAGACTGTGAAACTACGAACCTTGTTACCAAAATCTGATCGAAAGGAGGATTTGGATAGTATCCTTGCTCAAGAGGTGCAGTTCATCTCGCGAGACCTCAGCCAAGCGCAGCCACCACTCAATACGCTCAGAATTTTGCTAGAATCGGGGGCCGACCCGAATGCGTACCAAGCCGCCTCTTTGTGCCATGCAATAAGGGGAAGCAAAATACAGATTGTTGATCTGTTATTCGGACCCCAGTGCCGCCTGAGCCAGGCTTCTTTGGGCTACGCGCTTCCTCACGCTTTGCGGCTGCAAGATCCTATGAATAGACAGACGTTGACCACGAAGCTTGTGGAAGCAGGAGTATCACCGCAAGAAGTCAACCGGGCATTGATACATGCAATCAAGACGTACCCCGAAGACTTTGGCCTAATACGGATTTTATCGACCAAGGCTGATACCTCAGATGGCGAAGCTTTGTCTCTCGCCATATCAAGAGAATCTGCCGACGTAACTGACATTTTGCTACAATGCTCTAACCATTCAGTTGGAAATCGTAGCTCGGCGCTGACTAAGGCGATGGAAATTAAGAACCGCACAACTAGAAATGCCTTATGCCAACGCTTATTGGCTTATGAAATTTCACCGACAGCGGCATCAAATGCTCTGCTAGTCGCTGCCCGTGAAGGCGATGTCAAGCTTGGCGATATCCTCATGTCTCATGGCGCAAGCATGTCGCAAAACAATGGCCAAGCAGTTATAGAAGCATGTCGTGGGGGATCTGTGGAAGTACTCAAGGTTCTTCTAGGAACAGACATGACGGTGAACAATACCACTCTAGAAGAAGGATTTCAAGCAGCCACCGAAGTCCGGGACCTGAGCAAACGAGCCATGATCTTTGAACAGCTTCTGGGCAAGGGGCTTAGAGGAGAGCTTGTGGATGCGCAGCTGGAATCAGCAGCAAGGTATGGAGATGGTGGTCAGGCCATTTTGAGAGTACTGCTGGTCGCCGGAGCGGATCCGAATTATAGCAATGGCGAGGCCGTTGTTGCGGCTACAAGAAGTGCCTTCATCAAAAACCTAGAGCTCCTCCTTGGGGTCTGGGATGAAGGCGATAGCCAGGTGAGTAAAAGACCTCCGCCCTTGATCTTTTGTACCAAGCTAAACCGATGGATTTGCAGAAGAAAGTGTCTCCTCCTACGTTGATTCGGGCGCTCAAAGCTTGCTGGAACCTGAATCGTGATGATCGATATCTCATAATTAGCGATCTTATGAAAGCGGGCCTGCCCGTTGCGGAAGACTTGCATATTACATTGAACGACGCGGTCAATGAAGAAGATTCAGAGGAAAGACTGGTGAAGCTCTTGCTGGATTACGGCGCTTCACCTTTGGCTAACGGATGCAAGACCTTGGTCGATGCTGCTGAGAAGTCGCTATCCTCGACACTGGCTCTCCTGTTGGACATTGAAATTCCCCAGCAGGACATTAATATGGCATTTAATAACTCATTCAAGGCTGATGAATTTGAGGCTTGGTTCACGCCATCTGGTCTGGAGACGGCGGGGATGTTGTTGGATAAGGGTGCAAAGGGCGACGCTCTTAGCGAGGCACTCGTCCAAATTATGAAGCATGCGGACGAGAATATGGAACTCGCCGAGGTGTTTTTCGACGTCCTCACCGCGCATGGTCCAAATGTCGACTACCAGAACGGAGAGCCTCTGCGATTGGCTGCATCACAAGCAAACATTGAATGGACACACAGATTGCTCGCCTGTCATCCATCCACAGAAACTCTCACGTTTGCCTTTCACAGTATATTCGACACTGCGCTCACCCAGGACGTGGTTTTGGAACTTTTCCAGATGTTTGCGGATTATCATGAGGGAGACGTCCGAGTTGATGTCATGGCGACTCGTGCTGGCTCCATGCCAGTGCTGGGAAAAGCCATCTCACAGTATCCTCGCTCCTCGACCATTTTGACGACTCTGTTGGATGCTGGTTATTATCATGACCAGTCCATGCTCTACAAACTGCATCCCGAGATTGAGGAAGAAGAAGAGATGACGCTTCTCACATGGGCCATTGCCCAGCCACAAAAGAAAGTCAGTTCCAATCTGATTCAGATCTTGCTAGAGCGAGGAGGTAAGTGAATCACACATCATCCATTTGTAATTAGTTGAGATTTTGCTAACATTCAGAGTAGCCAAGGTCAACATTGGGACCAAGTTATCGGGGACAACCCCTCTGATGCTGGCTGTTCGGGAACGTCGCTCAGATATTGTCAAGTTGCTTTTGCTGGAGGGAGCTGACGTTGATGCCATGGACTTTCTTGGAAGAACTCCAATGGCAATGGTCACTCACCTCAGCGGTGACGTCGCTATTCAAATGATGTCCAGTCTCCTTGCAGCGGAACCGTCAAAGGATGATGGTTCACTGCATAACGCCGCTAGAGATCTCAACCTTGCAGCAGTCAAAGTCCTGATGGAAGCAGGCCACGATCCCGATTTCCCCAGCCCGCTCCACAACGGTCGCAGCGCCCTCGGAGAAGTTTGTCTGCACGGGTCCGATACTGGACAGATGACGCCTGAGCGAGAACGAAAGATGCAAAAGGTCATGACTTTCCTTGTAGATTCGGGGTCCGATTTAACCATCAAGTTGGACGGCAAGTCTATATTATACCTTTGCTTCGACGCGACCGATCCTGTATCCACGACACGAGCGTTGCTGAAGAGCGGCATGTGGAAACACATCAACAAGCCGTTCAACCAGTACGCCGACGAAATGTTTGTCTATTCGCCAACAATGTATATAACCAGGGTTTTGGCGTCACTCGATACCCATGACGAGCTCCTTTCTGTTCTTCGCGCGAGTCGTGCGACGGACGTGTATTATGCTAAAGAAGGCAACCAACCTGAGGGAGCCGTCGGATTGCCGGAAGATTTGGAAGTGAGAGAGCGAATCCGAAAGGCTCGCTCGGAGCGGCTAGTGGAAGAGTCTCAGGACTTTGCCCTCGCACTAGCCAGGAAGCGTGAGATCGCATCTGTCGAGCAGCAGATACATACACAGAAAGCAGAGATGGAAGATGCCCGTCGTAGAAGGCTGCAGTCCGAGGACCTCTCTACTATTCGCTCCAAGGCCCAGCTCGAAGAGAGTCTCGCGAACGATGCCTTTAGGCGACGTCTTTCGGAGCAGAGGGCTGTGACGGAAGCTACACTGGCGAGTTCGCGAGCCCTTGCTGCTTCTGATCTCGAGGCCGAGGAGGCTAGGCAGCGCAAGGCTCTCGAGTGGGAGAACAAGCTCAACTCTGAGCGGGCGGGTAACGCGCGCGCGCTGATTGAGATGCGTATTGGCGAGAGGGAGGAGCTTGACCGTATCGAGGTGTCGGCCGAGTCAAGGATTCAGAGGAGGTTGGAGGCGCAGAGGAGGCTGGTTGAGAGTCAGGAGAAGTTGGCGGGGAGATTGGCTGGTTCGGGGGACACGAGGAGGCAGATTGGGTATGTTACTGAGTTGAATTAGTGATGTTTGGCTTTGGATGTCTGGCGTAAGGGGCTTGAGCGACTGGATTGTAATTTTACGATTTATGAAATATATACATTTTTTTTCTTTATTTGTTCAATACTGTGACTGGTTTGTGTGAATTGTTGTGATTAATGTAGAGTGGGTTTTACATGATCTGGAACATTTTTCAGGTTTGAGAGCTGCCCAATTAGAAGACATCTAGTGTTTTTTTGTCATTACACTCAGGTAACATGGGGTCGAATTTATGGTTTATACTGCTGTGAAGTGTACCTGTTGGATAGGATGCAAGGCTGTGTGTGTGTGGATTACAACAGCGAAGCATCGTGATGAAACATTACTGGTCATCTTGCAAGAATATGGAGTCTTTTGAGGCAATGGAGGGGACTAAGATTGCTGTGAAAGGATTGCAGAGGCCAGGGGAAAGCATTCTTTGTTTAGTCCTGCTGTTACTGGCCATCTTGCAAAGAAAGAAGAAGAAAAAACGAGGAGTCTTTTAAGGTCTCAGGGGTGATTAAAATTGCTGTGAATGTCTAGACTGTTCCTACCTACCATGTCGTCATCTTGCAAGAAAACGGAGTCTCTCTTAGCTTCGAGGGAGGTTAAAGTTGCTGTGAAACATGCAATGCATAATGCAAAAGCATGCATATGTACTTTGGCTTGAGCTCTTCCTGCTACTACTGGTCATTGTTTCAAGAAAATAGAGTCTCTCCAGGCCTCGAGGGAGGTTAACATTGCTGTGAATATGTAGCCACCTGCACCCCAGACCCGCGAATCCCTCATCCATCCATCTCCTTTCACCCCCACGATGCCCAGACTGAGCCAAGAGATTGAATCGACTTGGCAGTCTAGCCACCTTTAGTTACCAACTTGAAGTCTTCAACCTCCAATGTGTATTGAGACATTTGTGCTAGTTGAGTCGTGGCCATATATATGTCGATATCAACTGTTCTTCTGCCATAAACAAGCTGAAAATAGACTTGTTAGTCCTAGGCGGACTATATCATAAGAACCTTTGTCGATGAGGAAAGCAGTTTTGAGCCTGTCAACGTTTTGATGTAGGGGCTCTAGATATCCTTGTCCAAAGCCATTTTCTATTCTTCTAGCATGACAGTCAATGATTCTCTTAGTGGAAACGAATCTCTTCCAGTGTCATAAGGCTTTGGCCATATTGTTTTATTCACTTGCGGCAATGAACATGTTATAGTATTCTTCATAAAGTTTCATTTTGTTAAATGCTTCGATACTATCTACAACCCTCCTCTCGGATTTGATTGAGAATTCGAATCAAGCAGAATGTGTCTTGGACTCGACCATGTTCTTCTTAATTTATAGACATCATCCAAGAAAATCATTGTGTTTGCGCATAGATGATGGTCTTCGACTTTACATCACTATGCCCACAACCATACTTTCCCTCCCAAACATACATTTACTCCACCTCCTCGATAGATCGGTTCTCAACGCCCGCCGCGTTGCGTCGCTTCTCCTGCTTCGCCTTCCAAGCACTGGGGGGAATGGGCAGCGGGATACCGTGGGTAGCGGGTCCGAGTCTTGGTGATCCGGAGCTGTCAATGCCCCAGGTCTGGGTGATGGTCTTGCTGTTTGAGGTGGGGAGTCTGCCGTAGACGGTGTTGGCGGTCTCACCGGTGCCGTCCTGGAACGCGGTGTAGCTGGGCTCGGTGGTGAGGACGGTCAGGGGCTGGTTAGCAGTGTAGACGATGGTGCCCGAGCCAGAGGTGAAGCGTCCGTCGGCAGCGTTGTAGTCACCGACGATGTTGAGGGTGAGAGCGGAGATGGGGGATTCATATGCGGACGTGATTCTGCGGTTGCTGCCGTAGACGGGGAGGCTGGTCAGGGTGACGGATGTGGAAACGGCCTGGCCGCCGGGGGGAGTGTAAACATAGGTAATGCCAGTGATGACGTTGCTGGAGCTGAAGGTAGGGATGATGTTGATGACGGCACCGGCGGGAATCTGGTTAGCCTTGGGCAGAGTTGTGATGGTGGACTCGCTGTTGATGACTTGTTGATAGGTGCCGGCGGGAACGGTGCCAGACCAGTTGTCAATGATACCGTAGAGAGTGCGGTCACCGGGCTGGGAGAAGACTACATATTGCTGCCAGTTCGGGGTGGTGCTGGGGGCACCGGCGAGCTCCTCTGTCAACACATAAGGGGTTAGTACTATGCTATACAAGCAAGAATAAGACTCGGGGTTGCTTACGGGCATAACCGTTGAGCTGGAAGCCAAAGCCGTTTGAGGCAGAGATGAGAGGCTCGGCAAAGGTGATCTCAACGTTGAGGCCAGTAATGGCATTGCCTCCATCCGCAAGGAAGTAGTTGAAGTTGCTGCCTAAGCCCTGGGGGGGTGGTGCCACAGACATTGTGAAGTAGTGATGGAAATTTGAATTCTATTTGAGGCGTGTTGGTGATATTCCCATGTACTGATTATAGTCTTATTGGGCCAAGTATGTATTTGAATTGAGGGGGGGAGGTAGTCTGAGATGCTCACCTAGACCTTAAACTTCTTTGTGATAGGACAGGCTTGCCAAACTGACTCTTTGCTCAAGCTTGTTCGAGTGAGCTGTTGCGAGATGGTGCTTCTGAATCAAAAGCCTTTGAGTAAACATCCAGAGGGCACCTTTTATGTGTTTTTCAGCATCCGCCTCATCCTCACAACCAACTTGGAATCACCAAGTCTAATTACAGCGAGTTGCCTATATCGGAAGTCTTATCGCAGCGGCATCGTGATCTAAACAAACTTCAAAAGTACGAGTACTACTACGTTCCTAATTGAGTGCCGAGATACGAGACTCGACATGTCTACGGACGCTGTTCAAAGATTCCTACGGCGCATGTAATTCCCATGCCAGTACGTTTGATGGAAGACGCCCGTAGACAATTGCAGAGGTTTTGATGAGCTTCTGTTTTCGGAAAACGTCCGTAGATGTCGAGGAACTCTTGAAAAAGCCCCTCCCGTTCCCCGTCCCCCGTAGGTAGCGCTCGGGTCAAAAAACCTCCGCCCTTTGCCCTTGGATTGGTGTTGATCGGATAGCAGATGCCGTAGCGCCGGAGGCACGAGATATCACCTTGGACTTGGACTTGGTGAGGGGGCGTGTTCCGCAGTGCGCCAGCATTCAAACGTCCCTTGTGTGGTTTAGCATTGATCGGTACGGCTCAGGCTGTGTGACATATTATCTCAACAGCTGCAGGCAGAATGGCGTCTTTTCTCCAACTATAATAAAAGTGCCGGGATTCGTTGGAGCTAATACTGAGTCTAAGTTGCAGCGAGTTGCCTGTTTGGGAAGTTGTTATCACAAGCGGGCCACTCATGGAGGGAGAACGGCGTGAAGGATGTGGCGATGTCGCGATCCTTTCTCATGCTCACGATATCATGTGGTTGGATTGCGGCTTAGATGACTTGCGGGGTTGTAGTTATAGTGCTGGATATTCGTCCGGGAGTCCTGACAACCCTCTTCTCTGCTGCTACATGCGACTGTCTGCCTGTCAATACGATTTGCCAAGACGGCTGTCTCTACGGCTGTCGGTGCGCGCGGCACATGGCTCCCGAATATCCCATCGGCGTTTTGTTGGCTGCTAACCGGAAGGCGGCCATCTCCGTCAACGCATGCAGCTAACAGTTGATAGCAGCGGGAGTTGGGGGAACGAAGCCTCGTCTGTAGTCCCTCATCATGACCATTTGAAACAGAGTTGAAGGCTCATGCAATCTTGGAATCTCATCTATGAATGTCTTTATATTGTGTCTTCACCCATAATTTCTCTTCATCTCCAAAAGATGGTCCTCTACCTCCATGAGCAGCCCGTGCTGCCCGTCTTCTGTCCCCCACAAGCAAACCCAAGTGGGGGATTCTCCGTTGAGAGGGGCTCTCCATTCCGTCAATCGATCGAGCTGTTTGTCTATTTTCGGACCCGTCTTAGCATCTTGATTGGCGAGTCTTGGCTAACCTAGCAGATCGCGCCATGATCTGACCGAGTGGCGGATGCCCATGTGCCTTGATAGATGAACCTGTCCATCTTGCTGTCCCATGTCCACTTACACGAAAAACAAGGCCCTGCCCGTAAGAACCTTGAACGCTACACTCATCACATGTCCTAAATCACGAATAACATTCCGCAGATGGCATCCTCGTAACCCGACTGACACCCCTCCACTACCATCCCTATCCTGGAAGGACACGGCCATCCCCCCCTGCAAGAAAACGGAGTCTCTACGGAGGAGCCCTCGATAGAGGTTTAAATGCCTGCGTAAGGCCTGAGTCACGGCGAAGTGAGTTGTGTCAGCAGGCAATCTGGAAACGATCGGCATACAACGCCTTGACGGTTATAAAGTAGGTAGCTAGATACAATACTACGACACTTATAACTAGTGTCAAGTGTTACACCGAGGGCAGCAATAACGGCGGATATTAGAATGACTAGTGACAAGAAGAGATGGAAACAAGGCAGCGATAGTACAAGTAGGTTGTGAGCAAATTAATATTAAAGGAAATTCATCATATTACCCATCTCAAGGCGTGCTAATGGTGTCCGTGATGGCTCAAGATTCGTCAAACTAGGTCTCGGGCAGAATTAAAGATGTTGTGAAGTAGGCCCTACTTGGGGCTAGCCTCGGCTGACTCTGAAAGAGGTTAACTTTTCTGTCAAGGAAATCTAGCAGAATTTGCTTAGCCATCCTGCGCATTTGCGCCCATGTATCATTGTCGTAGGCCGAATTCCACCGACATGAAGAATAGCTGCATCGAGCGAGGCATCACATCACACCATCTAGCAGCAATTTTGACAATTGAAGGCGCAATAAACCGTTGATAGACTCTGAAAAGGTAATGGTTATTACAGAGATCCCAGTACTAAGCAAACATCCATATAACAGTCTCATGATGGTGTTTGTTTGCGGGAGTAGCTATCGAGCATCCTAACTTGGGATCCTACACTCTAGTGGGCTACAAGTACTTGCAGTTTGAGCACCTTGATAAGATGCAACGAAAGTGTCTTCGGATACGAGGACCTTGTTCTTTAAATATCTACCATCGCTAATTTCCCATCATACATGATATTAGTGCGCATATAAATAGCCGTGCATGTTAAGCTTGTGACTTGAGATACGACAAGCTGGATGGCCGACTTGGAGTACTAGACAGCAACACCTTTGCAAAACCGTGCTACAATTGGGAAGTTGACCATTTGCTCATGAAGATCTTTGTGGAATCAAGAGCTGGTCACGGATAGTTGATCGTTGCTGTTATACTTGAGAGGCATGGGATAGAACTGATGACTAGTGATGCTGAAAAAGATGTACAGTTGTATTTAATGCAACGTACCTTACCTTGCATGGCTAGACAAGTGATCACAATGTAATACTACTGGCGGCTTGTAAGAAAATGAGTCCGAGTTGCGTGTAACCTAGTCCTTCCCAACCTCGAGTGAGGTTAAAAATGCTGTGAATCTTTTGTTTATCCGAAGGCGCTCGACGAGGCTTCCAATCATCAATGAGCGTGAACTTGACATCAATGCCCCCTTGGCATTCTCAAACTACTCACGGTAGGCAAAGAGAAATGCGATGCTTGTGACCAACATCGATATCTGAACTCTTTCTCGCTTACTCTGCGAATTTAAGAGAGGCAGCGTCTGTAGTTGGCCTCTTGGTAACCCATCGGAGGGAATTATAATGATTTCTCATCCTGCTAGGAAGGATCTCCAGCTCTGAGAAGAGATGAGAAATACCGAGTTAAGTGGGCTTTTGGATGCATTGCGGCGAGCGTACTGGCACATGAGAGCACTGACAGTATTCATTTCCTTCGTTTTTGTTCCAGGGTATTAGTCGAGACGGGGCTGTGCCTTTTTGCATTGTTGCAAACAATCCTCCAACAAGTAGTCATGACGATAGGATATCTCGCAAGAATACAGAATCCAACCGAATTGAACCTCTTGAGCTCTGAGGCGGTGCTAAAAGTGCCGTAAAGAATTCTGGTGCGCTCAGGTTAGGCTCCATTGCGGCCCAAAATTTTCCCAATTGAGTCTCCTCCGGTCCTCCATCATCTGGCCTTGAGGGAGGTTAAAATTGCTGTGAAGAATCAGAGAACGCCAGGAACGCGAAGACACTTGGTTCCAATCGCATATGGGCAAAGTCAATCGACTCCGCCCAAGGCGTGAGGCAGAATCGACTTGGCACCAATCACTGGCACAACCTGGGCGTGCAGAATTTCTCTGCGAGAACTTGCACACCCTCGCAGCAGGTCCAAATAGCATAGACTTTTACGTGGTGGAGGAGCAGTAAAATAGCGGATGTTAAGATGCGTACTTAGACTTGAAGAAGCTGGAGGAACACGGCGATGATAGGAGATGCTGAGCATCCTTCAAGATCGAGGACGTTGAAATACTGTAAAGAAAACTCTTCTTGCCAAAAATCCGAAAAGGATTTCGTTACCACTCAAGTCCCCTCTTGTCTTCCATGATAAGGACTTGGGGAGAGTTATAATTGCTGTGAAAGATGTCGAGTGGGACGCCTTGTATGCGTACATGTACTTTCATGGCCTCCAGGTTAGCTAAAGAAAAATGCTGTAAACATGACTTCGCTGTGGATTTGACAAAAGTACTCTCCAGTTGGGTCCCTCTGCGATCCTCCGGGATTCATGTATGGCCTTGGGTGAGACTAAAAGTGCTGTGAAGACCCGGGATGTACATCACGCACGAGAAGAGAAATACCTACTACTAGTCCAGTCCTTCCCGCGGGAGGTCCGAGGCATTGGGATATGGATGTTGCGACATTCAGCCAGTGAGAGAGTAATTAAAAAATGCTTCGAAGTTCACCGATCTCTTTTTTCCCCTTCGTATACCCCAACAATAACAATAGCAGCAACATACGAGATGCGGCAAACTAACAGATAGAGTCAGCAGCAGCCATCATAAGAAACCGGAAGAAGGCAGTAATAATAGACACCTTATTATATCAGTAGAACCAGCCTCCAAGCAAGCCGTCTCAGCGAAACACAGTAACTCGTTGTTCTGCTAAACGTTGCAGCCCAGGTCAATTCAGTGATATCCGCTCTGCGGATGATCAAGGGTACTGAGCTCGGTCGGCTTCTAGGAATACTATATTGAGCATAGTGATACGCAAATCCACAGAAGAAGTCAAGTAGCATTCATTTCCTTCATTCTATTTTTAATATCAAGAAAGGCTATGCCTTGGTGCATTATCATTGCATAAATCCTTAATCATCCAGTAAGGCACTATGGCGACATGCTGTCTTGCAAACTTCCGGAGCATAGCTCAACTCAACCTCTAAAATGTCGTAAACAAGGCCTAATTGCTCCGTCTAGGCCCGATTGCTGCCCAAAGCCGTCGCAATGGAGTCACTTCGCTCTATGATATGGACTTGTGGAGAGTTAAAATTGCTGTGCAATTGAGGGTCAACAGATGAGGCTCACTAGTCCTGCCTTGGGAGAGGTTAAAAATGCTGTGAATCGGTCTGCCGGGGCGTAAAATGAAGCCTAATTCGACATAGTTTCTCAAGGCCTGAGGTTGGGACGCCGGCCCTTTCACAGCAATTTTAATCTCACCCGAGGCCATGATCTTGAAGAGTTGCTGAGCGACTCAATTGGGAAAGTACTTTTGAGAATTCAGTCAGCTTGAGCTCTTCACAGCATTTTTAACCCAACCCAGTAGGTATGATATTACTGGTCAATCTCGCTGAGATCCGGTGCCAAGCCAAGTCAAGTCGGCTCTCCAGGCATGGGAGAGAGTTAAAAATGCTGGGAAATCTCAATCCAGGCAGCAGGCCTAACCGCCGACTGTCATCAGCTGAGACCAGGCCAAGGGAAAGAGAGACGAAGCTGCTTTGTATGGGGATTTCATTGGATATTGAAGTTCTGCTACTTCACATGGTTCCTATCAAACTGATTCAATTCCAGGAGATTTGATGAAAGAAAGCCGATTTTCATCTATTGTTGTGTAAACTCTCCCCAGTAGCTGTGGCCTTGTATTTTTCACCTCCCAGATCTCTCGTCATCCTCTCATTTTCATCAACTTCAGGGCGCTTCATTGACAAGTCATTCATTCAGTCCTTCATCTATTTTCATACCTAGTTCTCATCTAGCAATATATTATTGTACTTCATTGTAGCTATCATGTTTGTAGTTCAGAAAATCAATCACTCAGCTCTTTCTAGCCATCTTGATCGAGTCAGCGCCCGTCTCAACGACTCTGAATCCATCCGCATCGCCATCTCCCCTAGCAGCCCTCTCAAATGCCTCCTCACTCCTATCACATATGGTTTCTAGATCCTGGTCGCTCAAGATATCATCTCCGCCTGACACTTCATACACTTGGCCATCCTTGAGCAGCAAAGCTCGTAATGTCTCGGGATCTAAGTCTTCTTCCATTTCGTTGAGCTTTTGGCCCATTGTCTTGAACCCGCCCTTGCGGATGACGAGCTTTTCTAGTCGTCGCTTGGCGTCGGCGGAAAGTAATAGGGATTCCTCCACCGTTCCCTTCGTGGCGAGACGATACACCAGCACTGGACGGGTTTGACCAATACGGTGGGCGCGGTCCTGAGCTTGCAAGTCCTGCTGGGGGTTAAAGTCGCTGTCAAAGAGAATGACAGTGTCCGCAGAGGCCAGGTTGATTCCTTGGCCGCCTGCACGAGTAGATAGTAAAAAGATCTTGTATTCCGGGTCCTCGTTGAAGAGTTTGATGCTCTCACGTCTGTCCGCTTGAGCAACGCTGCCATCAATGCGGCAGGCTTTCCAGCCACGCAGTTCTCTGCAGTAATCCTCCAAAATGTCGAGCTGTGTGGTAAATTGCGAAAATATGAGCACCTTGTGGTCATCGATGAAGAGATGCTTCAACAGTCGATCGAGAAGAAGCATTTTGCCGGATGCCGTCACAATAGTCTCATCCACTGGAATATTGGTAGCAATAGCCCACGGATTGTAAAAGTTGTGTGGGGTATTGCAAACCAGCCGGAGCTGAGCCAGGGGGTTACCCAACTTCTTGCGTGAAATTTGTTTTTCTGCGAGCATATTAGCATCCATATAATCTCAACGTAGAGGAAAGTGGGAGAAAACATACTAGCCATGTCTAGAGTCTGCGCTCGTTCCAGTTCTTCAGCAGACATTGGCTCCGGATCCTTGTCGTCATCCTCTTCGTTGGCCATTTCATTGGCCAGCTTTGCCTCGAATTCGTCATCAGACATCTTCTCCTCATCAGAGTCGGCCTCCTTGTATGAGCGGGCCTGGCGACGGCTGCGAACGCTTAGCGGAGTAGACTGTCGACTAGATTTTGCGCTTTTCGTTTCTGACATGACAGAGGTCGGCGGACTCTTTCGCTTCGATTTCTGGGCTTTGGGCGTTGAAAGGGGGTCGGGCTTGGCATTCTTAGGCGGCCGCCCTGGGCCCCGTTTGCCCATCATGAGGCTAAAGGCGTTGGGAGCTGGCGACGCTGACCGTTCTTCGACTTTTTTGCTTCTAGCTCCTTGTCGAAGGGGTAGAGAAACCGCTTTCTCGTCCTTTTCCGCCTTCGCTGTCGATCTCGCCCGAGAAGAAGATCGCGTGGAAGCCCGGGAGGCCGTCTTGCTGCGAATTATCTCCACAGCTTTATCTTCGAGGTATGATCGAGTGTCCATATTTTTGTTAGAAATGACGTTGTACAAGTCCGTCTGCTCCCTTGTCATTGGAGCAAACAGAACATACTCTCGCTTTTTGGGCAAATAAGCGGCGACGTCTTGCTTGATGCGGCGCAGTAGAAGCGGCTGCAAGATGAGATGGATTTTCTTGACCAAATCTTGCTTCATTTGGTCTTCGATGAACTGCTGTGTTCCCTTTTCATCCCCCAACTCCGAAAAGTCGAACCATGATTCAAATGCCTCCCAGTCGGTAAAGATGTTTGGCAGCAAAAAATGGAGTAGGGACCAAAGCTCCTTGAGATTGTTCTGGAGCGGCGTGCCGGTGATCAGAAGACGAGTGGCAGATGAAAACTGCCGCAGTTGCTGGAATAATTTTGCGTCGGCATTCTTCATACGGTGACCTTCGTCCTGTTTGATGGTGCATTAGCAAACGACTCAAAGATTGAAACAGAGACCAAGATGCTTACAATGATGATAAACTCCCATTTGATTTGGGATAAGTTATGGTGGTCATTGATCACCATCTCGTAAGATGTGCAAACGACGGGGAACTTGTTGGTGGGCCGGCCAGACTTAAGATGGCTCATGATCTTCTTGTGAAAGATTTCTTCTCGCTGGGCCTTGTTGCCATGATACATCTCGATCGGAATAGATGGCACCCATTTGTGGAACTCGTCAATCCAATTTGACAGCGTGCTGAGTGGTGCCACGATGAGATGTGGCCCAAGATACTGTTCTTGTTCTCGTAAAAGTGCAATCAGTGCGATGGTTTGAATCGTCTTGCCTATTAAAGGTTAGAACGCCGTTGGATGAGAAGGGTGAAGAGAAAAAGGCTTCACTAACCCAGACCCATTTCGTCAGCCAAGATGCCGCTCATACCCTGTGAACAAATCTCGTACATCCAAGTAAGCCCTTCAAGCTGGTACTCGCGCATCGTACCACCAACCATGCACTTTGGCTGTGCAGCCATCTGCAGATTGTGTTCGCCGAGCTTCTTGCCATTTAAACTGCTACCAACACGGCCGAGAACTTGTGTTTTCTTTGTCAAGATATCGCTAAAGGCGGCGCTCTTCTGTAGCAGCTCGTCCAGTTCTCGCGCCTTGGCTTCACGCTCTGCCTTTGTCTCTGCCTTCTTCTTTCTTCGTTGCTTAAGAAGATTCGCGCGTCGGGTCTCCTCCACGGCATTATTGGCGAGTCGTGCTTTGGCTTCCTCTTTGATAATGTCTTCATCTACAAGACCTACATCGCCTTGATCGTCGAAAGGATCCGTCGGCGGAGTGCTAGGTGCGGTAGTTGGCGGTGTCCGTGAATTCGACATGATTGACTCAACCTCCGAAGCCGAGGTATTGGCCATGATGAGAATCGTAACAGAAAATAACCTTCAAAACAAGAAACACGCAAACAAGATATGTCGTCAAGTAAATCAAGGCCAATATTCTCCGATGCAGCCGAGTAACCAGAATTCACAAGTCACACAAGAAGAAGCGCGTGAAGAAATCCTAGAGAAAGCAAGTGAAATGCACTAATGCAGGAACCAAGAAGAAAGTGATACAAAAGTGAAGCGTCACGCCGCGGAAAAGCGCCAATTGCAGCCAAATCCAAGCTGCATTCACCTTTTGCTCGGATCCAAGGGAAGCAAATCGTGAAGAGAGCTGAACTGCAGCGTGACGTAGAGAAACGCGAAATAGCAACGCGGTCACGTGCCTCTTTTTCTTGTGTTGCGCGTAAAGTGTTCGATCGCTGCGTCAAGCCACGATTCCAGCTCGATCGTGGCTGGTGAGAGGCGCCTCCGCCACAGACCCCGAAATCTGCCCCTCCATCGCACCATGATTTGACCCCGCCACCAAAAAATTGTCCATCTCGGAGTCACTCACTCCAAAGCTCACATTCTCACATAGACAACAAGAAGCCGGCATCCAAGGCTTCAGCCTCACCACTAGCAAAGCTGTTTCTGCGTCGAGTCTTGCGCTCATTCCCGAGCATTTCAGCCCATACATCTTATCGCATTCCCGTCTCCTATCTCTCCTTCAGGATGGCAGCCCTCAGCTCTCAAAAGTACTCTACCACTGAGGAGGCCGAGATCCAGCAATGGCTCACCACCTCGGAGCGCCTCAAGTCCGCCGACAACAAGTCTGAGATTCTCGAAACTCTCAACGGCCATCTGTCAAGCCGCACCACTCTTCTCGGCAGCAAGCCCAGCAAGGCTGATGTCGCCATCTATGAGACTCTTGCTCCTCTTGTCGCCAAGTGGACTCCTGAGGAGCGTACCGGCGAGAAGGGTCTTCCTCACATCGTCCGCCACATTGACTTTGTCCAAAACGCCGCCGTCTTTGGCCTGGATCTGAAGGATGACCAGAAGGTCAAGGTCAACCAGGAGGAGGTCCTGTATGTCAAACCCCCCGTTGACGCCAAGGCCGAAAAGGAACGCCTCAAGAAGGAGAAGGCTGCTGCCGCTGCTGGAGGTCAAGCTACTCTCGCCGACCGCACCAAGGAAAAGGTCAAGGAGGTCAAGGAGAAGGCCAAGGAGGTCGTTGCTGAAGCCAAGGGTACCGCCGCCGCCGCCGCTGGAGGTGACAAGCCTAAGAAGGAGAAGGCCCCCAAGGCCCCCAAGCCCCAGAAGGCTCCCGCTGCTGCCGCCCCTCTTTCTCCCTGCCTGATTGATCTCCGTGTCGGCCATATCCTCAAGGCCATCAACCACCCCGATGCCGACTCTCTCTTCGTTTCCACCATTGCCATGGGCGATCCTGCCGGCGAGGACACCACCGAGTACGAGGGCCAGATCTGCCGTACCGTCTGCTCCGGTCTCAACGGCCTTGTTCCCCTCGAGGAGATGCAGGGCCGCAAGGTTGTCGTCGTGTGCAACCTTAAGCCCGTCAAGATGCGAGGCATCAAGTCTTCTGCCATGGTCCTCGCCGCTTCTCCCAAGATCAAGGAGGGCGAAGTCGACGACCACAAGGGCCCCGTCGAGCTGGTTACTCCTCCCGAGGGTGCCAAGGCTGGTGAGCGCGTCTTCTTTGAGGGATGGAAGGGTGAGCCCGAGGGCGTTTTGAACCCCAAGAAGAAGATTTGGGAGACTTTCCAGCCTGGTTTCACTACTACTGATGGCCTCGAGGCTGCTTTTGACGCCAGTGCCGTTGAGGTGCTTGGCAAGACTGGCGTTGGTAAGCTGGTGACTGAGAGCGGTGGTGTTTGCACAGTCAAGTCCCTGAAGAATGCTACCGTCAGGTAAACAGACATACATTATATACATAGACCAGGTGAAAAGACTTTTACGACAAATGAAACTGTTCTACGTGATTCATAGTACTTTTCGAGAAATTGTCTTTATCTGATAGTTTGATTGTTTTTTTACATAATTTCTCATCATAGCTTGGCCATGACCGTGGAGTATTGCACTGATGTACAGCTGGCCAACCACCATTTTGGTGTTGTCAATCAATCTCTCCCATCTGAAATCCTAATATACATTGTTTGTATACAAAATCGCTGAAAAATGCCCCCGTGTTCTTCAAACTCCAGTGCTGAATCAATGAAAACGCCATATAGATGCACAAGATTTTCAACGCCTTACCGACCCCTCTCCATTTTCCGATTCTCCCTTTTTTTTTAATAACCGTCCTTCATTATACATGGTCATAGCAGTATACACAAGATATATACGCCGCACCGTCTTTGTCCTTTTCATGAGAAGAAATACTTGCTCTCTCTCAAGCGCTTGACGTCAAAGTCGCCCTTCTCGGGAACCTTTGGGATAGTAAGCGGCAGCCAAACAGGAAGCGGCGTCTTCTTCTGCTTCTTGGCGGGAGCCACCTTCTTCTGTCCCGCAAGCTGGGTTTCGAAGAAGGACGACTCCATATCTTTCATGAGCCGCTCAGCCAGCTCCGCAGCTTGAGAAGAGTCTCCGGTTTGGGCCTCAATCTCCTCTGCATTTACGCTGGGGGCCTCGTCTTCCGGGATGGCACCAAGTCCGATATCCTTGGCATCCTCTTGGATATCCATGTCGACTTCGGCAGCCATCATGTCCTCATACACAGATGCGGGGGTGACGATTTGCTTAGCAGCTTCAAGGTCCCAGGGATTCCCGGAGAGCTTCAGCTGGTTGCGCTTGTGTTCAAGGAGGAGTTCCTCCTTCGGAGACAGTTTGCTCTTCTTGCGTAGTTCCTTGATCTTTTGAGCGACAGGGGTATCGGGGTCAATCTTTGCAAGATAGATGGACCCCTGGTGGCGAGCCTCGAACTCGGCGCCCAAGCGGCCGACGACATCCTCTTCGTGAATTCGGATAAAGGCATCTCGCAAGACTTCATTCATAACATCGAGATCTCCGGCATGTGTCCAGAATGAATCATGGACGGCAGCAAAGTCGAGTCCTCGAGCATCGCATTCCAGCGCTGACAACAACATGTGACTGGCATCTAGAGAGTGGATGAAGTTGGGAGGGAATCCTTGGAGCTGCTTTCTCCTATTCACGGGATCCGTCTGGTCGCTCAAAGGGTAGATGACGGCTTGAAGACAGGTCTTGATTTCTCGTGCAGTGGTCTTGCGATAAGGCTGAACGACAGGCATTCGAAGTGGCGTTGTCCAAACAACGGATGAACGAAACTGCTGAACAAGATCGTCGAATTCGACCTTCTTTCCAGTAGGTGCCTTTTTCCTGGTTTTGCTAGCGCGAGAAGCGCCATCCTCGCCCTCGCCGTACGAGTCGACAATTTGCTGTAGCTGAGCTGGAGTCAGCGCTCGGCACACACGCCCACCAATCTCTCCGAGCCAATACTGGATGTCGTGGGCACCCCTGAACATGGTGGCAAGAGCTTGGAAGACTTGCTTCGCAATATACGTAGACAACAGAATGTTGGGAATGCCGCATTCTTTGCCCAGGTTGGGATATAAGGCGTCGATTTGCTTGCAGATTTGCTTCTTGGCTCCGGCAAAGGTAACACCGTAGACATTCGTCATCACAGTCTGCTTAACCACTTTGCGGGTTATCTTTCCGTGGAGTGCCAACGCAAACTTGTTCTCGTCTTCCATATCTTTAGCGATGGCCTCCTTGACTAGGTTGGCGACCGCAGAGTACACGTCGGCAGGCCTCTCTCCAGGCTCCAAATTAACCTGCTTCGCTCCCCATGTGTCACCGCCGAGAGCTGCGTAGTGTTGGAGTCCGTTACAAGTACCATCCTGGTGAACTGGCAGATGCGATACGAACTTTGTGGGGTCAGGAAGCTCAAGGGCGGCCTTGAGTTCAAAGCACGCAGAGAGGCACTGCCACGGATCCTCACCCTTGAGCCACCATCTACTGCCTCCCAAGGGATTGGTGGCCGACTCAATAATGTTGGCCACGTTGTCATCCGCAAAGGCTTCACGTTCGTCAAAGCTGGCCTTGTCCAGGCCGTACACGTTGGCCAAATGAATTTTCAGCCACCGCAGACCTCGCACCCCCAGCTCTTTGCCTTTGGCGAATTTCAAAATGGCTCGCGCGTGATCGGCACCCATGTGGTTGAGATATGTAGGCATAGGATAAGCTCTTCCTCGGTAGTCGACATTGTGTGGGAAATATATCGTCTGGTTCCTGAAGGCTCGCGCAATCTCCAGCTGTAGATTCATAAAACATCTCTGAGAGTGCAAGCCAGATCGCTCGTTCTCGATCGCTTTAACTTGTCGAATCCATTTGCCCCGGACAAGGGGGTCTGCTGAAGCATCCGGCTCTGTTGGGGTTTCCAAGTTTGGGTTGAGAGGGGGTATGTCGGCAATCTCTTCGCCACTGTTCCACGCCTCCATCATAACATTCAAGGTATCCTTATTAATGATCCATGCTGTTTTACCCAAGATATCCAGGCCTTTAAACACCTGCGTCATATCTCCACGCTTGATCGCCGCGTTGCTATACAACTTTTGCTCGACGTCTCCGGGCTTCACTCGTACAAGACTAGTTTTGCTGTCCAAAAATCCGCCTTCGCTGAAGGACGACCAAGGCTTGGGCTCAACAATCATGGGGAGATGCTTGGCAATGAAATCACCCATTGGCTCGCGCTTTAGCTGCTCAACCAAGTGGGTGTTGAAAGTGAGAGCTCCAACCTTTTTGCCCTTTCGAAGTAGCGTCTGATGATTGAATGCGGGTTGGTATTGGCTAATCAGCTCTTTGGATGTTGAACCCTCTGCCACAACGTTAATTTTGGCAGATTCAATCAACATTTGTAGCAGGATTGAGCCAACTTGGGCTTTGATTTGTATAGACCAGGGTTCCCGGCTATTTTCTTCCATGGTTTTCTGCTGCTCAGTTGCATCGAGTAGAGCGGGGTTGGCATCTTTGCTGTCGGTCTTTTTGCTCTTCTTTGACTTGTCCGCCTCGCCCACAAAGCGAAGTTTACGCTGTCGTCGAGCCTTTCTCTCGGCCAATTCTTTCTGGTACATCTCGGTATCGTCCTGGACAGCTTTTGCAATATGCGTAATCAACCTGCTTATAGGGATGCCCTTTTCAACACCGAGAACAGTTCCAAGGTTGACAACCGACAGTATCGTTACAGCCGCGAGACGTGCTGGTTCACCCTGTTGGATAAACGGACCATAGACACATCTTGTGAGATCTTTGTCCGATTTTGACTTTTTCGCTTCTGACAGCTCAATCAATCGCAGTTCTTGATGGATGCGGCTCTCCATGGCGCTCATCCACGACGCCATGTTTTGCGACATGGAGCCTTCTCTGGAAGAGGGCGATAAAGCGGTGGTGACGCCTCGTTTTTGTAGATTCTTGTTATCGAGACGCCATTTCTCAATCGCCGAACCAATTGAGTCTCTTTCCAGCTGAAGTTGAATGTCGACTCTGTCGGAATACGGTAGCTTGGAAATGTCCACATCCTGTAGCCCCAACAAGAGTCCAAGGCCCTTCTTCAGTGTATTAAGGCCTTCTCCTCGCTGCGGAGTTGGAATGAGCTCCGGAGCACTTTCAAAGGTTTTTGTTCCGCCAAGCTCAACCTCAAGGGTAGGAGAAGCCTGCGCTTCTTCATACTTGTCCGGCGTAAGAGTTGAGTCTTCCAGGCCACCTTCATCGGCCGCAAAATTGTAAGTTGGGCAGATTTCGGTAATGACGGCAAGATCTTGGTCGCTCAGAATTTCGTCCATGCTTAGAACTCGTAACCCGGCTTCGTCTGGTGCCATTCCCATGTATCGCTTTACAAGGCGGTCCAATCTAGCGCCCCGTTCAGAAAGCAGAGATGCCTTGAGCATGCAGGCAATTGTTTCGGCCGTATGCGGCAAATTCTTGCTTCTTATTTGTAGCTCGTACCACTGGTGGAGCTGCTCGGCTTGCTTTCGATCGGGCTTGGTGCGCATTTGGTTGAGAGATGCTCTGAGATACCGGTTGTTGAGAATGATTCGCTCTTCGTCAGATGCAGTTCCAGCGGTGCCAAGACGCTTCAACACGAGTGCTGCTCTTTCCAGTTTCCCTACTTTGATGCATGCGTCAAATACCATGAGCATATCTTCAGGTTCGCCGGGAATGCCGTAGGTGTTCATTTTTGTCTGAGGCCTTGCAGGTCCCGGCTCAGGTATAGTCAAAGGTGATGCGGGGTTGAAGGCGTGAATCTCGAATGGTGATGTCGGTGCCTGGAAAGGTGGTATTGATGAGTTTGAGAGGTGGTTATACGGCATTCCCTCCACTTTGAAGTCATCCACGGCTGTAGCAAGCGTTCGCTCGTGCGAGCCGAAGCCAAGATCCAGCCCACGACGCCATGGTCGCAGGTTTTTTCCCAGGTCGTTGCGTGGGCTTAAGGTAGATATACAAGCCTGGAGAGAGGGGAGCCGGGAAGGTATTCTAATTGACTTGAAAGCAGCCGCATGGTGAAGAGAGGCGCTGCGGCCCGCATGCCTCGACAGCATTTTGAGATGCAGAGATATCAACCGACCCGCCAATGAAGACGGTCGAGATATACACACGCAAAAGAAGATATTGATACAGAAACAGTAAATACAAAATGTGAAAAGAAATAAAACAAGAGTAATGCTGGTCAGGAACAAAAAGTTCCGCCAGTATCGAGATTACTGGTGGTGCAAGAGAGAACTTTCATCATGCGGGACCGCACACAGAAGCTCGTTCCAAAAGTTTTTCTCTTCGTACCATCGACGCCGCACATGATTGGCTGGATTGGGCAAAGTGTCACGTGGAGGCAGCAATTGAGAGCGGCAGCCCCACCAAACGCCACTGCGGGAGCTTTTTCTGTAGAGCCAAAAGCGCTACCAGATGTGGAAATTTCACCTGTGCAGTGCAATTGCAGCATCATTCATCGTCGTCGAAAGGCAGCAGAGATGATTTCGCGCCCGGTGGCTGCGACTCTGGGGTGCTGCGGATGCCGAGGTGCGATTCTGAGGGCCGTTGCGTCCAGGCCACTGGCTGGCATTGGACAGGCGGCATCGCGGGGGATCAGACCGGTGGCAGGCTCAGGACTACCAAGTTTTCCACCAGGTCAGCAGTTTGGCACTGCTGCGCGAAAAGACGACACAGACACAAGACCAGAGAAGGAACAGCGAAAAGACGAGGACGAGATTGAGGACGAGATTATCGACAGCGACGAGTCCGCAGATACACCATGGTTTCTAGATGTCCAGCCCCCACGACATGCGCCGCTGCAGCACATTGCCTCGCTTCCCAAAGTACCCGAAGATGCGCCTCACTTCCTCGAGCCGATGATGAAATACATATACGAAGACATGGGCCTGGACGAGTTATCATTGCTCGATCTCCGCGACCTCGATCCACCGGCGGCACTTGGTCCCAAGCTCATCATGATTTTCGGAACGGCGCGAAGTGAGAGACACTTGCACATTTCGGCAGGCCGCTTCGTACGATGGCTGCGGCGAAACTACCAAGTTGGTGCTCGAGCGGATGGGCTAATTGGGCCGGGAGAACTCAAGACGAAGCTGCGCAGACTAAGGAAAAAGGCAAAGATGCTGGGGAGCAACACTATGATTTTGCCCGGTTCGGATAATGGAATATCGACAGGCTGGGTCTGCGTCAATTTCATGGCGCATGAGAAGGGAGTACAAGAAGCTTCCAGTTACGACGAAAGTGGTCGATTTTCAGGGTTTGGTGCGCCAACGACGGGAACAACAGTGGTTGTGCAATGCATGACGGAATCGAGACGAAACGAACTTGATTTGGAAACTCTCTGGAGAGGCATCCTCAAGCGAAACATTGAAGAGATGCAAAAGGTGAAGGGAAAGACACGGCTGAATCCCTCGGAGTTGGAATCTCTAGTCACTTCAAAAATCCAGATGCCCGACACCCCTTCTGCTCATCAGTGGCAAGCGCTTAAGCTGGCTTCTCAACAGCAGCGCCAGTTTTCGACCTTGGCTCGGCGTCTTCAAGCTCGTACTCAGAGCAGCGAGTCTAGAGTGACTTCAATGAATGATGAAGCTCTAGGAACAGAAGATCAGCCTGGTAGCCCTTCGTTTGATCTGAGTGCACTGCGGCGACATATCCATGACTTTCAAGTGGCCGGAAGCCCCGTGAGCCGCGAAACTTTGCAAAGCCTCATTTCTGCAGTATTTCGGGCTGAGCTAACAGAAGAAAACACCGCGTCAGAACGACTTGCTCTGGTGGATCAGCTCAATCTCGTGGCGGAGGAGCGTGGACTCTCGGTCATGTCCAAAGACTGGCTAGTCACCCTCATTGAATCCATCGCCATGTCCCCGGCATATGGGCCGGAGCTGCAGCGAGCACAGAAGAATGTGGAGTTTCTCCTGTCCACCAGGCAAAAGTCTGCGCTGAAAAATAGCGACATTCTACGACTCATGGCGGCATATGCGCACCGATCAGAGTGGGAGAAGTTTTGGGACGCATTCCGCTCACCCGCTCGGTTTCAATTGCCTCGGTCACCAGAGCTGTATGAGTTTGCTTACAGCGTCCTGGCGGCTACTGGAGATCGGAAGCTGTGCACTGATGCACTGCGTTGGGTGTATCCCGAAATGCTCAAAGAGGAGCCCAAGGTATGGCCTATCGGGCCGCTGTATGTGTCATTAAAGGCATGTATCCTGGTTGCAGATCCTGCTGCTGAGAGCCTGCTGCACCACCCTCCACCTCAAGATTCGCTGGACCTGTTTGGCCAGCGGCAGTTGGTGCATAGGGAATTCTTGCGCGTTTTGAGAGAGGTTGAGAACCTGCGACACCATCATGCTGGAGAACAGGCGAGAGAACAGAGGGCACAGACACTTCGCAAGTTGTCGGGACAGATGCCGTCCAATCAAAATTAGCATGATTCAAGCCCTACATAAAATGATGTAGATGTATCTATTTGGTAGGGAGCACTTGGTAAATCTGGGACTGGGAAAAGGGATGAAATCATGTACAAAAGACGCCGCTCCAAAGGGACTTATGAGTGTATTACTTTGCGTTCCCAACAAGGCCTTTGCTGTTTTGTGTAACATAGTTTGTTTGTATAAATTAGACAGGCCATAAATGGTGAAAAAAAAAACCAACCTCTTTTCTTCGGCTTTCTACAACAGTGGCAATTCTATAGCTGTGACTGGGACGTCCCATCCACAGTCTTGAGGGCATCTCGAAGCAGTGGCGCAACCTGCTTCCTACTCGCAGACAAATCCTTCTGCCTCCACGCTTTTCGCTTCCCATCATCACCATCCAACAATCCATCCTTCCACTGCTCCAGCTTCAAACTCTTTGCAACGCTGGGGAAATTCTTCGCTGCTTCGACTCCTTTGTCCGTAATCCCCCACACGAGGAGGTGGCGCTGGAATTCTCCACCAGGATCCGACGTGGTCATGACACTGGCGACGTCGAGTTTTCTCTCTTTGGCCCAAGAAGCTAGTTCATCGATGAAGTCGTGAGGCTCTTTCGCCTTGTCAAGCAAGTAATCAAAGTTTTGGACAATGCAGCTTATGCCCAGCTTAAGACCCGCTTCTTCCCACTCCTTGTAGTCTTTGCGGAGGATGTCGTAAAAGCTAAGCTTCGAGATATCCTCTTTGACGGCGGTGATATCCTTGAAGAATGTGGTTTGTTGGAAGTGAGTATGATGGTGGACTTTTGTGAGCAGATATTCTACGGCGAGGATGTCCTTTGGTTTGACCTTGTGCTCTTCCTTTAAATCTAGAGTATCGATGAGAATGGGTGCCAAGGCGAGTTTAGCCAGGTTGTCGTCCTCGGCAGCGGTATCTTCAGTTTCTAGCGGAGCAAAGGCGTCCCATGCTGCACGAGATTCTTCGATGATGAGACTCATGCAGCTTCCGCAGGGCTCGACAATGCGTGGCTTGACATCCTGGCTGGTGACGTTCTCGTCGACGTGGTGGTCGATGCAGCCGATGACTCGGCACTGGAACTTCTTCAAGTCGCCCGTCAAGGCGTTGTGGTCTACCAGAAACCACTCTGTGTCTTCGGGCTTGAGGTCGGGGAGTTCAGATAACGTGAGGATGTCTGTGGGGGTTAATCCGGCTTGTTGCAGGACGGCGGTCATTTCAGTTCGCAGAACAAGATCAGACCGGGGAATGTTTGAGAGGGGAATGTGTAGAGTGTGAGATGTGTTGGAGCGGATATACGCCAGCACTACGGCTGAGCAGAGTGAATCCAAGTCTTAAAATGCGTTAGTCAGAGGCTATACTTGGATCAATTGTGGTGATGTGAGATGACACACCTGCGGATTCATTGCCAATCACCAGGGTGAGAGGACTCGATCTTTGGGCTGGGGGAGCTGTGAGGGCAGATCGAGCAGCGGCCAAGAAGCCCTTGAGAGGTAGTCTAGGTGGCATCTTTATAGTGTAGGTTAACTGATGCTGATGTTCGATATCCCTACTACTTCTACTTGGGACTCTGGAGTTTACAATTGCAAGGCTGAGCGTGTGGCGGGGCATTTGCCTGGAGGTCTTATCGCGATATCAACCCCTCCATTTTTCCATGGCGGCGTAGCAATTGGTGAAATCCATGGATGTTTTAAGAATTTGCCCCTACAACGTCATTCAATTAAAAATTATGCAGTAAGATATATAGCATACATGCTGATAGCTATGATAAAAAATTCGATTATGTATTAGAAACACGCAATGGATTCTCATAAGTGCCCTAGTAAGGGGCGAATGCTCATCGCTATCCTGAATGGCTTCCATTACAAACAGCCTCAGACCAGAATGAGGGGCTCTGGCAGTTTATCCAGGCTTTGAGCGTCTCTTCTCCCTCGGAAGCAGCTCCGCTACAGACGCCCCTAAACGCCGGGCGTCCGTCCGCATACAGTATCAGGTACGGACGGGGCAAAGCCGGCTCGATTTCCACCCGTCGATGCGCCCTGTATGTCAACTATCGCGTTCCCTCTGCCACAGGGCGGGATATCGACATTACTAATACGACGCCGGTTCGCCTCCGATCCTAGCCGTATAACTTATACGAACAGCTCGACCTTTAAGGAAACAATTGGATCACGAGTCAAGATGATGCACATTTCAAAGCCAATTGCAATTGCGTCACGCTCGGTGCACACACACACCCTCTCTAGACAATCACATTTATTTGTCAGATACGGCTATAGTCAATCCCTTGCTGCCCCTCATCGGCTTCATCAACCCCTCTGCCCCTCATCCCTTTCAAGCTTGCGGCTACTGTCAACAAAAACAACTCCAACAACAGCCACAACACCAAAACTTTTCTTCCGTAGAGGCTTTTCCAGCACCAAAATGGCGTCAATCCCAGCAACCATGAAGGCCGTCCAGATCGCCAAAAATGGCGGCCCCGAAGTCCTCGAGTACAACGACATACCCGTGCCCAAACTCTCAGCAGGCCAGATCCTAGTCAAGAACCACTTCGCCGGCGTCAACTACATCGACACCTACTTCCGCGCCGGCCTCTACCCCGCGCCCTTCTTCCCCCTGACCATGGGCCGCGAGGCATCAGGCGAGGTCGTGGCCGTTGACGACTCCGTCACCAGGTTCGCTCCCGGAACCCGCGTCGCCTACATGGCGGGCGGAGAGTCTGCGACTTACGCCGAGTATACCGCCGTGGACGCCGGAAAGGTCGTGGCCGTGCCCGAGGGTTTGTCCAGCGAGCACGCCGCGGCGATTTACCTGCAGGGCTTGACGGCCTGGACGTTTATTCGCGAGGCGGGCGAGGTCAAGGCCGGCCAGTGGACGCTGGTGCATGCTGCGGCGGGAGGCGTGGGCACGCTGTTGGTGCAGATGCTCAAGAGCGTCGGGGCCAAGATTATTGCGACGGCGAGCACGGATGAGAAGCTTGCGCTGGCCAAGAAGCACGGCGCGGATTATCTCGTCAACTCGAATGACGACATTGTCAGCAAGGTTAAGGAGATTACGGGGGGTCACGGCATCGACGCCATCTTTGACGGTGTTGGCAAGGCGACGTTTGATGCGGATCTGCAGATGATTGCCCTCAAGGGGCACCTCATATCATTCGGCAACGCTGTAAGTTGTCACTTCATTGCTGAAACACAAAAGAAAACAAGAATGAAAGAAAAGAATGAACCACAGTGAGACAAAGATAAACTAACAATGAATCTCCTCGCTAGTCTGGAGCTGTCCCCCCCGTCAACATCCTGCAGCTCGGCCCCAAAAACGTCAAGCTCATGAGACCCGTCGTCAACGGCTACGTCTCTGAAAGGGCAGACCTTGAAAGGTACACGTCCGAGCTCTTTGACCTTGTCATCTCCAAGAAGCTCGAGGTCAACATCCACAACATCTACTCCCTCAAAGATGCTGCCCAGGCCCACATTGATCTGGAGAGCAGAAAGACAACGGGCAAGCTCCTGATCAAGATCAACTAGACTCCTTTGACTCAAATCTATAAATAAAAAATCATTACGTGTTTTGTTTCTTCTTTTGGTATTTGTTCTCTCTTCTATCGCCGAAAAAAACGAGTCCATTGTCCAAACATCCAATTTCGTAGATGACGCTCATTCTGACGAAAATACTAAATTTGGTCATTCATGTCTATTTTTAAAAAGCATCACATCCAAATCTGCTCTTTTTGTTTCAATGCATTTTTTCCAACGCTAATATATCCATTTGTTTTACGCCTTCTTGATAGCAGCCAACAGCTCCGCCGGCGGCTCCTGTCGGTATCCCTGGGGGTTGTTGCTGACCCACCGCCAGAGGTCCTCGCAGGCCTTTTCCATGGTGAGCTCAGTCTTCCACTGCAGCTCCTCGTTGGCCAGCTTGGGGTTGGCAGTCAGGTCCAAGACGTCGCCGGGTCTGCGGGCAACGACCTCGTACTTCAAGTCTCGGCCGACGACGTTGCTGAAAGCCTTGACGATCTCAAAGACGGTGCTGCCACGGCCGGAGCCCAGGTTCCAGGCCTTGACGCCGGGCTGCTTGGCGCGGAGGTAGTTGAGGGCCTCCAAGTGGCCTCGGGCAAGATCCACGACGTGGATGTAGTCTCGGATGGCGGTTCCGTCGCGGGAGGAGTAGTCTGTAGAATCCATTAGGACTGGCTGAGAGAAAACATGGGTAAAGGCTGGTACTCACCCTCGCCAAAGACCAGCAACTTCTCGCGCTGGCCAGTGGCAACCTGCCCCAGCAAGGGAAGCAGGTTGAAAGGAACGCCCTGGGGATCCTCGCCCATGATGCCGCTGGGGTGCGCACCGCAAGGGTTGAAGTAGCGCAGCAGAGCGCCGTTCCACTGCTGGAAGGGCTTGCCCTCCTTCTCCAGGTTGGTGCGCTGGGCGTTGACATGGTCGGTGATGACGTCCTCAATCATGGACTTGGTGCGGCCGTAGGGGTTGGTCGGGCCAATGGGGCAGTGCTCGGGGATGGGGATCATGTCGGGGAATCGAGTGGCATCGCCGTAGACGGTGGCGGAGGAGGAGAAGACAATGTTGGTGACATTGTGGCGGGTCATGGACTGGAGGAGCGCAATGCTGCCGCCGACGTTGACGCGGTAGTACTCGAGGGGGATGATGGACGACTCTCCGACGGCCTGGAAAGCTGCTGTTAGTTCTTTGGTCCCTGTGACGGCTTCGTTTTGTCCGGTGTCGCATTTCAACTCGCCTTGAGCGCAGCAAAGTGGATGACGCTGTCGATGGCCGGGTGCTTGGCAAAGACCTCGTCCAGCGCCTTCTCGTCGGTGATGTCGGCCTGGTAAAAGTCGGGGCGGCGGCCGGCCAGCAGCTCGATCCGGTCAACGGCAACCTTGGACGAGTTGTAGAGACTGTCGACAATGACGACATCGTAGCCGGCGTCGAGCAGGGCCAGAGTCGTGAAGGAGCCGATGTAGCCCGTGCCACTGCGAATTGGGCGCAGAGAAGCATGTTAGTCCAAAGAAGCAGAGCAAAACAAAACAAAACAAAACAAAACAAAACATCCATCACGGCCACGACGACGCTCGCCTAGCTCCAACAAACGCAAGTTGGGCGCAATCCTCGAGAGAGCTGCGTGGGGCAGCGAGGGGCGATAAGCGCGCACATTTGCTGGGCTGGCGGAAGCATCTCAGAGCAGAGCATGGCTGAACAGAGAATGGAAGGGGGGGCCGTACCCGGTGATGAGAACAGTTCCGACAGCCATTGTGGTTGAGCGTCTGGATTGCAGGTGAGGAGTCGCGGTAGAGAAGAGCCGTTGTGAGTGTGACGGCGAAAGCGAGAGGGGGGAGCGGATTTTATTGCTACGGGCGACGAATAATGTTTGTGCTATGGGTGCGGATACGCCTCTTATTAACTCTCTTGATAGGCGCGGATCGACCTGGGAATAACTGGGATGGTAGTGCCGTTGCTGGTGGCGCTGGATCCGGCGCAGCGACTGGGACCGGCGACGATCTCGAGGTCCGACCGCTGAAATTGCCAGAGACGGAGGCAGAGACGGAGGCTGGGCGTGAGCGTGGGCGTGAAATGCTGTACGAGTATAGCTGGAGAGAGACGGAGACGGAGATGGAGATGACGCCAGCAGCCGGGGGAGGGGCCGTGAAGCCATGGACAGTCTCTGGAGCGCCATGTTTCAGCGGTTTTTTTTGCAGTGGAACGTTATTCCATCCAAGCAGGGATACGAATAGAAGCTTACAGCAGCCCCGAAATAGTAGCCACAGTTGGGATTGGCCTCCACTGATACGCCAGACGGTAATTAATTCCCTTTGGTGGGGTTATGCGAGACTCGATTGACGGGTATTGCAGCCAAACACGGTGGCTACTATCGAGCGCTTCATGGCATTCTTAGCACCGAGACTAGCAAAGTCCCGTCCTCAGCTGTGTTCCTGGATTTACACGGTTCGAGCTCAAACTACTGAGTACAGGTAATTACCTGGGCAGAATACGACACTGGCTCGTAAACATTCCCTGCTGATTACATGATTATATTGACTGCTCCCCTGCTGGCTATGATGATGCATCATTTCTTATTTCGTGATCAAAGCATGGCCCTGGTTCAATTACTCGGCTTGATATGACGAGTGCCTTGGTTGGAAAAATGACAAGTGGGCGGTTGGCTGCAGATCAGTGGTGTTTGCAAAAGCTTGTGCTAAGATGAAACGCGCATCACCATCAAGACCCTTGTCAGCCTCATGGCACGTTGATCAGGGTGCGTATCACGAGTACAGCGTCTCCTTGAAAAGAGATCGGCGGCATATCCAAACTCTGTAGATGATGTAGTACTCCGTCCTCCTTACTCTCCTGCAGAGTGCTTTGTTTGCTTTGCATTTAGTCTTATCGAGTTGTATGTGCCTCTGTGAAAGTCTCCATCTCCGTTTTCAGCCCTGTCGGTTCTTTGTGCTGAGTACATGCAAGTCTGTACTCCCGTCTAAGACCCACGCTGCTGAGACATGATATCGCCAACAGACAGTAACAACATGAGGCTGTGCCGCACAGCTTCTGACAAAGACAGCATGCACGCAATGACCCAAAAAAAAGAACGTGGCTGCATTATTATTCCATTCTTTATTCCGCGTAAAATCAATTAAACACATCTGGCTCAAGACTTCCACCAACACGATGAAAACATCAACTTGTACTGACATGTAACTTGTACTTTGCGCTTCTGCACTTCAATTCTCTGACGCGCACGTGACCCCGCTCAATCGTGCCTGATTCTTCACCCCAAAAAATGCGCCGCTTAAGCCTCGGCGCGTCACGCTACCGCGCCCTCAGTGAAGTTGTCATCGCGCAAACTAAGCCCAAAGGCCATCTCAAAGAGACAAAATCCCATCCTCGCACGCCCAAACATATTTCTATCTCACCCCTGCATTTCGAAACCCTCTGCAGAAGCTCATTGTTTCTCCCAGACGCAAACAAAGTGGCCTCCCAACGCCTCCTTACCGCCCCTTCTGGTGACATGCGTCTCATCCCAACTTAACAAAGATGCTCTTTGTTGATCGCAACTCTCCCCCAGTACGGATCCATCTTGGCTGGGACACAAAGAATCTGGGACCCAGCAGACGACGAATCCGGATTTGAGCTTGGGACAAAATTAGATTGTGGCCGTCTTTGTTTTGTTTTGTGAATTTGGGCCTCAATCCGATCCTATTTGAGCATATCCGTCCTCGATTTTTTTCACCTTCTCCGTTTTGCCGATTTTCAACATCTTCAAAGCCTCTCATTCTGTTCATTATCAACTGCTCTCTCATTTCAGCTGCCACGACCTAAAGGATATTTCTCTCACTTTGTTATCATGATGAATGGTGGAAGAGGAGGCAGACCACGGTCAAGAGAACGCAACCCTGCTAGACGGCCAAACACCCGGACGGAGGTGGAGGATTTCAAGAAACCAGACTTTCCCTCCCTAAAAGGTGCACCTAGTACGAAACGGCAGTATACATATGGAGCTGCAGAGGAACCTCGCCGCCTCAGCGTGGACGCCATGCCAGCCACCCTTCAGGATGCAATGAATGGTGTTCTTCGGAGGCAGGAACGTCAGGAGGCTGAGGAGGCTGCGGATCTGCAACGACATGGACAATACCTGAAGCCTCAAGTCACTCGTCGACCTAATCCGCCGAGAGAAGCCGACGAGTCAGGATCAGGATCAGATGTTGAGTCCAATCAACCGTCACGTGGCCGGGACAACAGCAAGTACAGACAGGGATTGAAGTCTGCCATGGCGAAACTTGGTACATCTCTCCTACGCTGCACATTGTTTGAGAAGCAATATGATGCTAATGATTTTCGCAGCAAAACCAAGCAACACAGCAAAAGTGGCCTTTGATCGATCGTTCAGTCAACCAGCATCTGAGGATGAAGACGACGACGATGACGATGGAGAGCTCACTCCCGACGAAAGTGATGGTTCTGATTCGCGGAGTTTCAACGCCGAGCGTGATTTATTTAGAAATGCTGCGTTTATGATATCGCCAATGCCTCCGCCAGCAGCCATCAAACCAATTTCATTGTCTAATTCGACAAGGTCATCTACTCTATCGGGTCAATCCCTGCCGGCCAATGACCAACATGAGCAGGCTACCCCAAATCGAATCATTGAAGCTCCAAGTAAAGCTTGGAGTGCCGTCAAGAGTCTCCTAGGAGGAAGGGTTTCTGCGCCTGTCAGTCCGCCCGAATCAGACACGCAGCCAAGTCTAGGGACTAGCACCGCCAGACTTTCAGAACAGAGTCAATCCACAGCAAGGATGCGCATCCCCAAGGCGCCGACCATTGCGGCCCCAGCAAATCAACCCCGAGGCAAAGAGCAACGGACAATACCTCCTCGAAGTAACACTATCATAAGTCGCCTGTCTCCCCTTGCTGCCACGCGACAGCCAGGCAAACCTCTCCTCAGTTCTCCCGTTCCCACAGATCACAGCGAAATGGACGATGCCATGCAAGATAATATTCGAGAGACTGAAACCCGAGTTTCGCGCCAAGACAAATGGTGGCGCATTCTCGCGTCCCTTTTTCCATTTACTTCTAGGCGGCAACCTCAGCAGAGACATGTTCAAAACGGAGAGATCAACTCTCCCGTGTCCTCCGATTTCGATTCTGACCTCGAGTCGGAACCCGATTCAGCTCTCACCGACGAGTCCATCAATTGGCAACAGCTGTTCAACCCACTCACATATCTGCGGGCCATTTATTGGTTTTTCAGCACCGCCCTCGAAAGTGTCATCAACTCCTTTTCCGGACTCTTCTCAGACTCTCTGCGAGACCGGCTAATGCTCATTGGTGAGGCGCTGATATACACCGTTAGCGGCTTTTCGTTCCTTTTGCTGGCTGCAGTCCTCTCCAGCATTGCCATCGCCAACTTGCCCAGCTTCGAAGAGGCTCCATCGGTTTCTGTTCCCTCGGTCTCAATACCAATATTGCCAAGGTTCGATGACCTTGCCTCTCGAATTGGAAATATCATCCCGTCCATTAGCTGGTCCTCGCGGAGCGCGTGGGATGACTTTCCAGGGCTTAACGAGCTACGAGGCGACCAGTATGCCGAGTTTGGGGATCTCATTAACCAAATTCTACGGGATCTCCGCTTGATGAAGGGTGCTGGGAAGCTTCATGAATCATCCATTGAACAGCTAAACTCAGTCGTCCCCAAGATGGTGCACATGACACTCAAAGATGGAAAACCCGTCGTCACGCAAGATTTCTGGCACGCAATCCGAGACCTGGTCGAGAAAGATGGCAGCTTCCCAATGCTGAATAAGAGCAAGGCTGGCAATTACGAGCCTTCGTCAGAGAAGCAGTGGAAAGATATTGCGGCATGGCTGGCGAGACGTCCAGAAATCGCCTCAAAAATCAACGAGGCGAACGATGGACTAGCCAAGAAGCTGCCGCATATGTGGGAAGCTTGGGCAACAGACAACCAGCGCAAGGTCGAACAAACGCTACGCCCCATCTTGGACAAGATGAAGATTACCGGATCCCTCTCGGACAAGGACATTGACAAGCGCCTTGACCAGATGATCAAAAAGCATGTCGGAAACACCAAAACTGGCAGCACTGTCGTGAGTCGTGAATACTTTTTACAGTATCTCAGGGACGAGTTTGCCAGCCATCGTACCGAGATGAGAGCCGAAATCAATGAACTGCAGCCCAAGCTGGAACAGCTGATTCGCGACTCTGTCGATCTAGCCAAGAAAGATGACTCCCCGAGCATGACACGGGCGGAAGTTGCCAAGCTCGTTGACGGATTGGTGCGCAAAGCCATTGCTGATATGAACCTAGAGGCCATGGCTAAGGGTCGGATTCGCTCTCACTGGGACAGAGATCTGAAGAACCAGCTCAACTACTTTGGAGTAGGTGCTGGCGCCATTGTCGATCCCAAAGGATCATCCGGAACATATCAGCCCGATGCGAAATATCTCAATGACAAGGGTCTCAAGGGCGCTCAGCCGTACCCACCCATAGAAGCTCTCCTTCCATGGCATGATGATGGCGACTGTTGGTGTGCTGCTCGTGAGGTGAACAAACGCGGCAACCCCCATGGTGCCAAACTGAGCGTCATCATGGGCCACTCAATCATCCCTCAGCATATCGTGATTGAGCACATCTTGCCCGGTGCCACGTCAAATCCCGGCGCGCGACCCCGTCACATCGAAGTGTACATCAAAATCGAAGACTTGGCTACTCGAGAGCGTTTGCTGGACTTTTCGGCGGCGCACTTCCCCGACGACCTGTCAGACTGGAACTATGCCCCAGCTGATTTGCCTCCTCACTTTGTCAAGGTGACTCAGTTCATATACGAGGGTGCGGAACTGCATGATGGCGTTCATGTTCACCGCCTCAGCAGCGAGCTCATGGCCCTCAACGCCGAGACTGACCAGGTGATTGTTCGGGCTGTAAGCAATTACGGAGCTCCCAATCACACATGTTTCTACCGCATTCGCCTCTTTGGGCATAAAACACTAGAGCCAGGCGACATGTAAAAAACAAAAACAAACGAAAAAAAAGACGAAAACAATGGAACTTTTTACTGCATTCGGCGGCGTCACAGGAGCGTTGGTTTTGATCTCATCTTGAATTTGGTCTCTTCTTTCTTCTTTCTTTCTTCTATCGTCTTATTAGTGGGAAAGCATCTTTCTATTGAAGCCAGGCGCAAACGTAGATAGGGTCGGAAATTACGGAATGGGCAGTGGAGCTGGAAAAAAAAGGACGAATACCCCCCCTTTTCACGAACACAGCAGGTTTTTTTCCTTCTTCTTTTTTTCTGCACAGATGGTGGGACATGTTGATTTTTTTTCTTTTTTACGTATTTGAAATGAAGGCAATGGAGATTCAGATTGGATGACTTGACTTGTTTCGTTTTGACGGCTTTGTGCATGTGTGTGTGTTTGTGTGTATACTGCTTTGTCTGTTGGTTGTGCTCTGGCCTGTCTTCCTTTCTTGTAGTGGTTTGAAGGGATCATTTCTTGGCTTCATTTGAGGCCATCTGCCTTGAGAGCGTTGCAGATAGAGATGAGCACCGAGATAGAAGAGGTCGTCATGCAGGATGCTGAATATACCAGCCGTTGATTTTTTATACAAAATTCTGATGCTTTTAAACTGTAAGCTGATATTATGCTCTGAATTACACTCCCCCTCAATATACAACACCAGCCAGAAATGCTCTCCCCAAAAAGTATCGACAAGCGCCCCCCCTTTAACCATCCAACAGACCTGCAGCCAAAGCTTCCAGGTCCTCCAACGTCTCAGGTTCCTGGTCCACCTCAATAACCTTGCCGCCCTTCTTCTTCTTGCCGCTCTTGCTCTTCTTCTTGGCATCTTCATCGTCCGAGTCGTCCTGGAACCACTTCTTGGTCTTCTTCCGCGGCGGCTCAGCATCCGAATCATCATCACCGCGATCCTCCCCAGCAAGAGGCAGAGAGCGCAGCAGAGCCAACGGATCCTCGCCATCACCGTTCTCACCAAGCTGCGCGTCGAATTCCTCACCACCAGCCATCTCCATCGCCTCCCTCGCCTTTCTCTTCTCCTTCTTCTCCCTCTTCTTCTGCTTCGCGAGCATCTTGTCGTCCACGTCGGCCTCCTTGACCCTGACCGTCTCGCTATCCAAGAACTTCTGCCGCTGCTCTTCCGCGGGACCCTGCTGCTTGAAGTCGTCTTCGTCCTGGAGCTCGTAGATTTCGTGCGCGTTGCCTTCCTCGTCAAAGACGAGTTTCGACGAGTTGCCGCGGAACTTGGCCATCTTCTTCTTTGACTGAAGGGCTTTCTCACGGCGTTTTGAGTCGACGACGTATAAATCGTCGCCGCCTAGCGGTATGACCTTGGCATTGTTGATGGGCGCCTTGCCTGTAAGTGCATCAACCTCGTCATCGTCTAGTCTTCTCTTTACAGACAAAAAGTCATCCTCTTCGTCGTCGTCTTCCTTGCCTCCGTCCAGCACAAGTTTAGAGTAGTGGCTTGACAAAACGTCTTGGTTCGTTCGTTCAAACATCTTGTCGTATTTTGTCCGCACCTCTGGCTTCTTCTTGTCCTTCTTCTTTTCGTACTCTCCGTCCAGATCCATGTCTGATTCTGAGTCGCTTGACATGCCTTGGCGGGGCGCGTTCTTTATCCTCTTGATATCCTCACCCTTCTGGAATTTGATCTGTGGGGTTCCAGGTAGACCGAGGCTCGAGGCATATGCGTCCCAGTCGTGATCGTCAAACTTGAACACCTCTTTGTCTTTTTGGAGGTGAATTGACCTTGTGTAACTGATGAATGCCTTTTGGCCCAGGTATTTCAAGTCGGGGAACCTGAAGCACATGTCCTGCAAATTGTTCTTGATGCTCTTCTTCTTCTTCTCCTTGACGTGCACTTTTTGTATGGGAATCTTCTTGTGTTCTAGTCGCTTGATCATTCCTTCTTCTTCGCTGGGATCGAGGAAGAGAACGGCACGGCCATTGCTCTGGAATCTGGCTGTTCGTCCCACGCGGTGGATATACGTATCAGCGTCTTCGGGGCAATCCGCCTGAATGACCCAATCGACAGCAGGGAAATCGATGCCTCGCGCCACCACGTCCGTCGCAAACAGGCATGATGTCTTGGCAGCAGTAAATCTGTTCGTGATTTCCAATCGTGCTATTTGTTTTTGACGGCCGTGCAGGTGAAGTAGCGGAATACCAGGCTGAAGATGTCGAAAGCTTTCGTAGACAAACCGGACTTGCTTGCCGGAGCTGAGGAAGACGATGATTTTGCTCTTGACGTTGGCTTTGATGAAGCCGTAAAGCGTATCGAGTTTTTCGGGGAGCGGGGTGACGATGTAGTGTTGCTGAAGGGTAGTGGGCGTTGCTGTCGTTGCGTCTTGGTGTACGGAGACGTATTCGGGATCTTTCAGGCTGAGTCGAGCAAGATCTGAAACCTTTTTGCTCTGCGTTGCACTGAACATGAGTGTCTGGCGTGACTTGGGCAGATGCTCAACCAGCGCATCTACTGCAGATTGGAATCCCATGTCCATGATTCGGTCCGCCTCATCCAACACCAAAATCTGCAAGTTGTTCGCGTCGAAGCCGGCCGTCTGGTCCAAGTGCTGCAGCATTCGTCCTGGCGTGCAGACAAGGATATTCATTCGAAGCAACCGCTCAGCCTCCTCCTTCAGATTCTTTCCACCGATAACCAGGCCGGCTGAAAAGGCGTGGTGTCGTCCGATCTTGCGTAGCACTTCGAAAATCTGAACCGCCAGCTCTCGAGTGGGTGAGAGGATGAGAGCGCCGAGGCCGTCGAACTCTGTCCATTGTTCGCGATAGAGCTTCTCCAGTACCGGTACCAAGAAAGCCAGAGTCTTGCCGCTGCCCGTCTTCGCCGCACCGAGGATATCCTTGCCCTGCAATGCCAACGGGATTGCTTGTTCCTGGATTTCGGTCATGTTGGTGAAGTGTGATGCGTGAAGGCCGGATGCTGTCGCAGGCGAAATGGCCGCCGACAGGTCAGCAAAAGCTTTTACCTTGCCAGACTTGGGGTCCTGCGTAGAATCACGGTAAGTCACAACATCTAGGATGAATGCATTTGCGCCTCATCCACTCACCAGCTGGGCAATGGCCTCTGCGAGTTTGTGCAGGTCTTCATGATCGCGCTTCCTCTTTTGCTTCTTGAGCTCTGTCTTGTTTGGCTTGTGCTGCGGCTTCTGCTTGCCGGCAGTTTTTGCAGGCATTGTGACTTCGGATGCAGATGTTGAGCTGGATGAGGATTTTGTCAAGGCCGAGTTCCAGGTTCTGGTCAATGGATGCTTGCCGCATGGAGCGATAGGAAACTTTTTTATCGGGGCGAGCTTATCTTATCCTTGTCGATAAGATAAGAACAAAAATTAAGTATAGGGTAGCTTCAAAGGCGTGTCTTGTCGGCACGTCGCTCCTCACCTCAGGAAGCAATGTTTGGGGGAAATCAATGAATAGGGAGAGATAAACAAGAAATTGGTAATTCCCTGCTTCTTTTTATGTATTTGTTGTCAGTCAGAAGACATTGGCGGAATCACTCGCTGTTGAACAATAATTACACCGACACTTGATGGATGATACATGATATACTAACAGTAGGGAAGCTGTCAGAAAATACACAAGGTAACTGTCCAAGCATCTCTATGAGCCAATATTACACGCATAGTCAGCCGTATTAACCTTACGGGAATTATGTGAATCAAAACTGGCTTATAGTATAACGGCAATCACTTGGATATTTACACTGAGTCCATGAGTAACATCACCCCAAGTACTAACCTACTAAGTAATACGCGTAGAGGGGTTGCTCCACATTGCCCTAGTAGGTACTAGGTACTACTAACCCCTCCAACACTCCAAGGCCAGATCATCAATACCACAGGCAAAGTAAAGTAAAGCACAAAAAAGAAAAAGTACTGCTATGCAGAAAAGAGGACGGCATCAAATACCCAAAGAGCAAAAAAAGAACAGGACCGAACGCGGATCGAACGCGTGACCTAGAGATCTGCAATCTCTCGCTGCCAAGTTTGTTAGTTATTGTGTAACAGAATGGGAATTATGTTTTAGATTCGCTTACCTCTACCACTGAGCTATCGATCCTTGGTGATGAAGCGGCATTTTTGTTAGTCTTATAAAGCTCAACCAACAGACATGAGCAAAAAAGGAACAAGTTGGAAAAAGCCAAAAAAGAAAGGACCGAACGCGGATCGAACGCGTGACCTAGAGATCTGCAATCTCTCGCTACCAGATTTGTTAGTGTCTAAGTTGAAATTGGACAGTGTGTTCAAATAAGCTTACCTCTACCACTGAGCTATCGATCCACTCGTTATGGGAGGCTGCATTTCAAAATACCTATAAGTCTACCTTGTCTTGAAGCAAACGGACAAAACCTCTACGAGCAATTTGATCCAGAAGATATCCCCCCAACACCCAACACACAGAGGGCTTATTATCACTTAACATATTTTTGAGCTAATCAAAATGGCGTTGTTTTCCTTTACTGGTTATTTGCTTGTTGGATAGCTCGCCGGATTTTGTCCAGATACTTTGGCAGTGTCATAGCACATGATTGAGCATTTCATACAGGGGCATAATCTTGTGTTGGACAGATGCTCCCGGATACAGGCCCTTTCCCTATCACTCACTTGTCTCCACAAAGTCATAAATCTTGTGGTTGCTCGGATAGATATTCATACAGCCCCTTTGGCGGTAGTTGGTGTAGCAGTTGCATCCAACTTGGCGAGACGGTTTAGTTAATCTATTTTAGGGACTCTACCATCTCAGTGTAGCAGTGGTGATAGACGCATAAAGTAATTGATCCTGAGGTATTTGAGTCTAGTTGTATTTTCCCACTTACTGGCCTAACTGATTGATTGTCGATGTGTAGCCACGACCTTTCTCTGACATGGTGCCCACGAATGACTTAGACGCCTAACGAAACAGGATGAGCGTAATAGATTAACCATTTAACAAGTAGCTCTTATATTTTGCTTAAGGCACATCCGGCAAGCCTTCAT